AGCCACCTGTAATTCCCAGCCTCCAGAACTGTAAACCAATTTAGAAAATGGATGAGAGGAGATGGGTAATGTCCTGGGGAGGAAAACATAATGTTGAGGTTTTTGGGAGGAAAACACAGCGTGATCTGAAAATGGTAAATGATGCACCATGGTTAGTCTTTTTCTCTCCCTCTCTTCCCCTTCTCTCACTTTCTCCCTCCCTCTCTATCTTTGATCTGCAATCCTGCTTGTTCTACCCCAAGGCCTGTCCCCTTGCTCATCATTTTCTGGTCCCACACTAACTTTTGCTCTCCTCCCTCCCTCCCTCCACATCCACTCTCTCCCTCCATCCCTCTCTCTCCCAATCTTCTTGTCCCAAGACAAGGTGAACGCTACCATCAGTCCTGTGTCATGCCAACAGTAAAGCATCCTGAGACCATTCATGTGTGGGGTTGCTTCTCAGCCAAGGGAGTGGGCTCACTCACAATTTTGCCTAAGAACACAGCCATGAATAAAGAATGGTACCAACACATCCTCCGAGAGCAACTTCTCCTAACCATCCAAGAACAGTTTGGTGACGACCAATGCCTTTTCCAGCATGATGGAGCACTTTGCCATAAGGCAAAAGTGATAACTAAGTGGCTCGGGGAACAAAACATCGACATTTTGGGTCCATGGCCAGGAAACTCCCCAGACCTTAATCCCATTGAAAACTTGTGGTCGATCCTCAAGAGGCGGGTGGACAAACAAAAACCCACAAATTCTGACAAACTCCAAGCATTGATTATGCAGAATGGGCTGCCATCAGTCAGGATGTGGCCCAGAAGTTAATTGACAGCATGCCAGGGCGGATTGCAGATGTCTTGAAAAAGAAGGGTCAACACTGCAAATATTGACTCTTTGCATAAACTTAATGTAATTGTTAATAAAAGCCTTTGACACTTATGGAATGCTTGTAATTATACTTCAGTATACCATAGTAACATCTGACAAAAATATCTCATAACACTGAAGCAGCAAACTTTGTGAAGACCAATACTTGTGTCATTCTCAAAACGTATGACCATGACTGTACTGTAAGGTCCCCATTTAAAGATTTGAAGTGTAGTAGTGTATTTTACAGGTTGGTAAATGTGAAATATGCCTGCATACTGTACTTATGAATGTCTTGGTGACATGCTCAGCTGTTTTATTTTCTCCTCCTGTTGTGTCTTTGTCTTTCGACTCATTCTTCAAGAGTGGATGATGGTTAAGATTTTCTTACTCTACTCCATACTACATGGGAGACTGGTTGGTAGAGATTATCCCTGTAGATTATCCCTGTAGATTATTCCTTATGTCAACCCACCATTCCTGTTGCCAAGACTCATTCAGGCCTAATGGCTAGAAGACATGCCAGCATTTTCCAATAAGCATCATTGAATTAGAAGATAGCCAGTCGATGTCATTGTTGGAAGTAACTCCACACAGACACAGAAAACAGCAGTCAGTCACATTTAATCAGGGCAATTTGACACTGATTTCTTGACAGCTGGCTTCTCCATTCCTCACTCTGTCTCCAGTGATTCAAATCATAACCAAAGCTAGACAGCGACATCTTTACTTCAGCCATACCCATACTAAAGCGAAATAAATCTGAAAATATTGATTAATTAGAACTGTTCACAGTCTTGCTCCCATCTGCAGCTAGTCTGGCCAAGCGATACTGAACTGCTCACAAAACCAACATCTATTTATTTTCACCCAATAAATCAAAAACAATTCACATGTATTTCTGAGAGAGGCAGTGGGGATTTTTCAGAAGGTTCTCTAAGTATGCAATTAGACCTATACTCTGGTTGCTATTCCCTTCTCACTTCTCAGTTTAATGACACAGAAATGGAAAGGTGTCCCAGTGGATTAGAATGAGTTATGTACAACTATTATGCATAAAAATGACTGAGTAGTAGCATTCATCATGCATGAAAGTGAGTGAATAGACTGTTCAAATACCAGCCCAAACTCCAGAGGATTGCAAAATTCCATGTGTGTATGCATTCACGCGTGCATGCGTGTCAGTGTGTGAGCATGTGTGTGTGTGTGTGTGTGTGTGTGTGTGTGTGCATATGCGTGTGTGCTTGTGCGTGTGTGCTTGTGTGTGTGAATTAGAAAGAGACTGATGTAGAGCAAGAGAGACACTTATAGAAAGTGTGTGTGTGAGAGAGAGAGAAAGAGAGACACCTCAGAGAGCCTCAGAGAGCTCAAGGTTCACTGGTTCACATTGAGAATTTCTTCTTTTTAATCAAGCTCCATTTTATATTCCTGCTGTCTCAACAATCCCTTCATGTCCAGAAATCCAGGATAATGGCATTGATACTAAGACTCTAAACATACTCCCAAAAGAAATCAAGACAGAACTCAAAACACACACACGCCGCACACACGCACACACACAACATTTCAATCTCAATTTGTGATCTCACTGCAATCCCAGAGATTCCTCCAGGGACTAGACACAATCATCAAATGACTGGAGTAGATTGAGATTGATCTTTGACCCACACTGTTTCAATAAACATCAAGATCATAAATTAATTTCCAGCAGCAGTAGATTTGTGGGAGGATAGATACGTAAACTGTTCTCCAAATTGGATGACTGAATTCAGAGGACTCTTGTCTGCTACCATCCCACTGGGCACAGACATCAATTCAATGTCTAATCCACGTTGGTTCAAAGTGATTTCATTGAAATGATGTGGAAACAACGTTGATTCAACCAGTGTGTGCCCAGTGGGATGAGATTGAAACCCATAGTCAGTGGACTGCTACCGACCAGAGAAATATTACAATATCTGTGCAAGAGATGTAAATATGGTTTGAAAGATTAAAGGGGCAACCTGGCATTCAAACATCAACAAATACAATGGAAACTTCTTAGCTAGGCTAAATAGTTACTTGACACATTTAATGTCAATTCATAATTTCATGTTTGATGGATCGATCAAGGAAATGACAATGACAATCAATACGATTTTAGTTCACTGAGAATATAACACTTTCTCATGAGAGTATTTACAAAAACAGAAGCTCTTCACTGTATTTCTTAGAACCTCTTTATAATCGATGTATTTTTCAACCTTTTGGCCTTTGTTCGTGTAATCCATAGCCATGGTAATGCAGCTCACAATGCTCACAGGAACATTATTGTTTTTCTGTTCACATATACTTGTCAATCATCCTTAATGTTCACCAAACACATGAGTCATGACATGTGAAACACTGCAGCAGTACTACATTCTTATGATCTGTAAGAAGAACCCTTCATTTGTTTATAGTACAATCGAGGTGTTTTTACATGAATTGTACAAACATATATTAATCATTGACACACAGGTCAAAACAATGAATTCCTGTTTGGATTTGGATTTCTGCATTGTGAATGTTTTCAAATCAAATCAAATGTTATGTGTCACATGCGCCGAATACAACAGGTGTTTGGAATGCTTACTTACGAGCCCTTAACCAACAATGCAAAGTTTTTAAAATGTAAGTAAGGAAAATGTGCTAAATAAACTGAAGGAAAAATAGTAACACAATAAAATAACAATAACGAGGCTAAATACAACGGGTACCGGTACCGAGTCAACGTGTAGGGGTACGAGTTAGTCAAGGTAATTGAGGTAATACGTACGTGTAGGTAGGGGTAAAGTGACTATGCATAGATAAAAACAGAGAGTAGCAGCTGCGTATGTGAAGAGTGTGAAGGAATGTGAATGTATGTGAATGTACAGTAAGTGAGTGTGTGTGTGTGGCGTCAATATGAGTGTGTGTGTTTTCTGTTTGTGTACGTGTGTGTGTGTTGGAGTGTCAGTGTAGTATATGTGAGTCCAGTGAGTGTACATCGAGCCTGTGCAAAGAATAATAATAAAATAAGGGGGTTAATGCAAATAGTCTGAGTAACCATTTGATTAACTGTTTAGCAGTCGTATGGCTTGGGGGTAGAAGCTGTTAAGGAGCCTTTTGTTCCCAGACTTGGTGCTCCGGTACCGCTTGCGATGTTGAAGCAGAGAGAACAGTCTATGACTTGGGTGGCTGGAGTCTTTGACAATTTTGGGGCCTTCCTCTGACTCTGCCTGGTGTAAAGTTCCTGGGTGGCAGAAAGCTCGGCCCCATTGATGTACTGGGCCCTGCGCACTACCCTCTGTAGCGCCTTGCGGTCGGATGCCGAGCAGTTGCCATACCAAGCAGTGATGCAACCAGTCAGGATGCTTTCGATGGTGCAGCTGTAGAACGTTTTAAGGATCTGAGGTCCTAAGCCAAATCTTTTCAGCCTCCTATCTTGGTGTGTTTTGACCATGATAGGTCCTTAGTGATGTGGACACCAAGGAACTTGAAGCTCTCGACCCGCTCCGCTACAGCCCTGTCGATGTGAATGGGGGCGTGCTCGGCTTTCCTTTTTCTGTAGTCCACGATCAATAATACGAATAATAATAATATGCCATTTAGCAGACGCTTTTATCCAAAACAACTTACAGTCATGTGCGCATAAATTTTTACGTATGGGTGGTCCCGGGGATCGAACCCACTACCCTGGCGTTACAAGCACCATGCTCTACCAATTGAGCTACAGAGGACCACAACTCCTTTGTCTTTCTCAAGTTGAGGGAGAGGTTGTTGTCCTGGCACCATACTGCCAGGTCTCTGACCTCCTCCCTGATACAGTTCTTAATATATATTCTAAACACGTGATTTGTAAAAAAAATATATGTATTTTTTTTACATTTTAGCAGAAGCTCTTATCCAGAGCAACTTACAGGAGCAATTAGAGTGAAGTGCCTTACTCAAGGGCACATGGACAAATGAGTACCAAGTTGGCTCAGGGATTGGAACCACCTACCTTTCAGTTACTGGCCCAATGCTCTCAACCTCTGGACTACCTGCCACCCTAACAAGTAATACTGACATATGATAACTTTGTTGACTTCCTTCTCAAAAGAAATTGCTACTATATAGAGGGAACTAAAAACGGAAAGGGACTGACTCGGGCAGCCCCGCAACGGCACAGTGACAGGGTTGAGGGAACCGTTCCTGCTGAAGAACTTGGTGAAGGCCTCTTCTAGTACAGTGGCCATCCTGCTCTGGTCCACCTCGCTGATGAAGCCCAGTTGGACCAGCTCAACAGCCAGTTCCTGAACATTCTCATTGGGTAACAAATCACAGCTTACAGTACAGTGTATTCACACCCCTTGACTTTTTCCACATTTTGTTGTGTTACAGCCTGAATTTTAAATGGGTTACATTGAGATTTTGTGTCACAGGCCTACACACAGTACCCCATAATGTCAAAAGGGAACAATGTTTTTAGAAATGTTTACAAATGAATTGAGTCAATAAGTATTCCACCTTTTGCTATGGCAAGCCTAAATAAGTTCAGGAGTAAAAATGTGCTTAACAAGTCCTATAATAAGTTGCATGGACTCACTCTGTGTGCAATAATAGTGTTTAACATGATTTTTGAATGACTACCTCATCTCTGTACCCCACACAATTGTCTGTAAGGTCCCTCAGTCGAAGAGTGCATTTCAAACACAGATTCAACTACAAAGACCAGGGAGGTTTTCCAATGCCTCGCAAAAAAGTGCACGTATTGGTAGATGGGTAAAAAAAAAAAAAGAAGGCATTGAATATCCCTTTGAGCATGGTGAAGTTATTAATTACACTTTGGGATGGTGTATCAATACACACAGTCACTACAAAGATACAGGCGTCCTTCCTAACTCAGTTGCCGGAGAGGAAATCAAATCAAGTTTTAATCAAATCAAATGTTATTGGTGGCATACACATGTTTAGCAGAAAACTAGGAAAACCTAGTTCAGTCTGCTTTCCAACAGACACTGGGAGACAAATTCAATAACCTAAAACATAAGGCCAAATATACACTGGAGTTGCTTGCGAAGATGACATTGAATGTTCCTGAGTGGCCAATTTACAGTTTTGACTTAAATCGTCTTGAATATATATGGCAAGACTTGAAAATGGCTGTCCAACATGACAGAGCTTGAAGAATTTTTAAAATAATAATGTACAAAGCTCTTAGAGACTTACCCTGTAATCGCTGCCAAAGGTGATTCTAACATGTATTGACACAGGGGTGTGAATACTTATGTAAATGAAATATTTCTGTATTTCATTTTTAATAAATGTAAAAAAAAATCTAAAAACATGTTTTCACTTTGTCATTATGGGGTATTGTGTAGGTGGGTGATAAAACAATATATTTAATACATTTTGAATTCAGGCTGTAACACAACAAGATGTGGAATAAGTAAAGGGGTATGAATACTTTCTGAAGGCACTGTAGGTGTCTGTTCAGTTTGTCCTCCAGCTTCCACAGTAGTGTCAGATTATGTTTTGCACACTCCTCCACCGGCTCAATATTACACTGCATCTGAACAACCTGTAGTTTAGCCAGACTGGTCTCATAGACTAGGCGTAACATAGTAAACGTAAATCCGGGACACTCAAATTAGTATGATATGTTATGTTTGGTATGGTTACATAAGATAGAAGGTTGCTTAAAGCAAAACAAAAGGAGGGGGGTGCATGGGTGGGCATATAATGCAAACGTCTAGCAATCCAAAGGTTGCGTGTTCGAATCTCATCACTAATTAGTAACTTTGCAACTGCTTACTACTTTATTGCAAATACTTTGCATGTTAGCTAACCCTTCCCCTAACCCTAAACATTTACATTTACGTCATTTAGCAGACGCTCTTATCCAGAGCGACTTACAGTTAGTGAGTTCATACATTATTTTTTAAAATATATATTTTTTCATACTGGCCCCCCGTGGGAATCGAACCCACAACCCTGGCGTTGCAAACGCCATGCTCTACCAACTGAGCTACATCCCTGCCGGCCATTCCCTCCCCTACCCTGGACGACGCTGGGCCAATTGTGCGCCGTCACTAAACCTAAACTTAACCCTTTAACCTAACTCCTACCCTTAACCCCTAACCATTAGAGTTAGCTAATGTTAGCGTTAGTCACCTAGCTAATGTTAGCCACGACAAATTGGAATTCATAACATATCAGACAAAATGGATGATGGACATCCACAAATTAATACATACAGTACCATACGAAACATATCATACTAAATGGATTGTCCCGGATTTACGTACAGAATAATACAAAATACACTGAGACAACATTAGTTCAGCAGGTTCTGGGGTGGGGGATTTGACGGAGGGGGTGACAATGGGGGATTTGACAGGGGACTGCTGGGGCTGCTGGAGAGAGAGCAGACCGAATGCTGTCAGGATGTACAGTGGGGAAAAAAAGTATTTAGTCAGCCACCAATTGTGCAAGTTCTCCCACTTAAAAAGATGAGAGAGGCCTGTAATTTTCATCATAGGTACACGTCAACTATGACAGACAAATTGAGGAAAAAAAATCCAGAAAATCACATTGTAGGATTTTTAATGAATTTATTTGCAAATTATGGTGGAAAATAAGTATTTGGTCACCTACAAACAAGCAAGATTTCTGGCTCTCACAGACCTGGAACTTCTTCTTTAAGAGGCTCCTCTGTCCTCCACTCGTTACCTGTATTAATGGCACCTGTTTGAACTTGTTATCAGTATAAAAGACACCTGTCCACAACCTCAAACAGTCACACTCCAAACTCCACTATGGCCAAGACCAAAGAGCTGTCAAAGGACACCAGAAACAAAATTGTAGACCTGCACCAGGCTGGGAAGACTGAATCTGCAATAGGTAAGCAGCTTGGTTTGAAGAAATCAACTGTGGGAGCAATTATTAGGAAATTGAAGACATACAAGACCACTGATAATCTCCCTCGATCTGGGGCTCCACGCAAGATCTCACCCCGTGGGGTCAAAATGATCACAAGAACGGTGAGCAAAAATCCCAGAACCACACGGGGGGGGGGGGCTAGTGAATGACCTGCAGAGAGCTGGGACCAAAGTAACAAAGCCTACCATCAGTAACACACTACGCCGCCAGGGACTCAAATCCTGCAGTGCCAGACGTGTCCCCCTGCTTAAGCCAGTACATGTCCAGGCCCGTCTGAAGTTTGCTAGAGTGCATTTGGATGATCCAGAAGAGGATTGGGAGAATGTCATATGGTCAGATGAAACCAAAATATAACTTTTTGGTAAAAACTCAACTCGTCGTGTTTGGAGGACAAAGAATGCTGAGTTGCATCCAAAGAACACCATACCTACTGTGAAGCATGGGGGTGGAAACATCATGCTTTGGGGCTGTTTTTCTGCAAAGGGACCAGGACGACTGATCCGTGTAAAGGAAAGAATGAATGGGGCCATGTATCGTGAGATTTTGAGTGAAAACCTCCTTCCATCAGCAAGGGCATTGAAGATGAAACGTGGCTGGGTCTTTCAGCATGACAATGATCCCAAACACACCGCCCGGGCAACGAAGGAGTGGCTTCGTAAGAAGCATTTCAAGGTCCTGGAGTGGCCTAGCCAGTCTCCAGATCTCAACCCCATAGAACATCTTTGGAGGGAGTTGAAAGTCTGTGTTGCCCAGCGACAGCCCCAAAACATCACTTCTCTAGAGGAGATCTGCATGGAGGAATGGGCCAAAATACCAGCAACAGTGTGTGAAAACCTTGTGAAGACTTACAGAAAACGTTTGACCTGTGTCATTGCCAACAAAGGGTATATAACAAAGTATTGAGAAACTTTTGTTATTGACCAAATACTTATTTTCCACCATAATTTGCAAATACATTCATTAACAATCCTACAATGTGATTTTCTGGATTTTTTTTTCTCATTTTGTCTGTCATAGTTGATGTGTACCTATGATGAAAATTACAGGCCTCTCTCATCTTTTTAAGTGGGAGAACTTGCACAATTGGTGGCTGACTAAATACTTGTTTTTCCCACTGTAGATACCATTCCTGACATCCTCCAGGAACTTATCCAGTTCCAAGGCAGGAAACTGAAACAGCTTGAGCTGCACGTCCGCCTTTATCTCAGTGATGATGCGGTTGTGGTCCATGTCCTTAATGATCTCCTCTAAGGCATTCTCAGGGATCATATATGACTCACAACCTGGATTTGGTCTTATGTAGCAAAATTTGAAATGCTGTTTTTTACATTGGATAAAAGTAGCGACTCAGAGCTACAAAATGGTATATCATACACTGCATTTTTGAGGAACAATGGGAAAGTAATTCTGCTTTGAAAGTTGATAAACTTGTAAACTCACTTTTGAGAAAATTGCATTTGAATGTTTTGGTATCTAGTGAAGAGCTCTTCTTTGTCTACACCCATTCAGCATCGTTCACACACTCTTTAGCTTCAGCCCCACCCATCTCGTTTCGCTCTGGCCGATGATTTGTTTACCTCTGGATAATATGTGGTCCTCTGTAGCTCAGCTGGTAGAGCACGGCGCTTGTAACGCCAAGGTAGTGGGTTCGATCCCCGGGACCACCCATACACAAAAATGTATGCACGCATGACTGTAAGTCGCTTTGGATAAAAGGGTCTGCTAAATGGCATATTATTATTATTATATGAAAACAGCATAACCAGCTCTGCTGGCAACAATTTCATTAAGATTGTTTGCCGACGTTTACTGACACCGGCCATATTCAACGGGTGTTGTACCGTTACACTTTAGCTTAAGACATGTAGCTAGCTAGGTAAACAATTATGTAAGATCACACACGTCACGTAACGTTAGCTAACGAGCCAGCCAGCCAACGTTAGCTAGTTAAAAAACAATGAATAATAACGTCATTCACGTAACGTTAGCTAGCTAGCTAACAGTACACTTTAGCTTGAAATTAAACCACTTTCTGTCAAAATTAGAAACGTGTAATATCTGAAAATATAGCTAGCTAGACTATCTTACCCGTATACATAATCATGCATGATGGGCGCGTCTCCCTCTCACGGATGCATTGCCACGGTTGCCCTTAGTTTGAAGATTTTCGCCATCTCTTTTGCTATCATACTCTAATTCCACTGATTTAAAAACTCGATCCTCCAGAAAGTGGAGAGCAACACTTATGCAGATCCACTACATTATATATATATTTTTAAACAGCGTTCGACAGGATTACCAACACAATTCTGACCAGCTCAAATAGACAGAAGGCTTCAACATGGCAGCAGTGATGCCAACTTAGCAATTTTGTTGCTAGATTTAGCAACTTTTCAGACTACCCTGGCAACTTTTTTTTCAAACAGCGCCTAGCAACAAATGTAGCTATTTAAAAAAATAATATTTGGAACATTTAGCAACTTTTGAAAAGTGATTAAAATGCTAAAATGCACACATTTTCCCTCTAAATGACACAAAAACGATTTTCTCTGTCACACACTCAGTCACAACACACGTGCCTGGCTGCAAAAGTGCATTGTGAGTGACGTCAGCACAGGCAGCAGCAGGCCAGCCAAGCAGCACAACAACCTGGAGAGAGCTGGAGAGAGATGCCTAGCGCACACATCATTATTTGAGTTAAGTTGCTTGTTTGATAAGATAGTGTCACACCCTGGCTCGGGGACTCTATATGTTGAGCCAGGGTGTGTGCATTCTATGTGTTCGTTTTCTATGTTGGGTATTCTAGTTGTTCTGTTTCTATGTTTGCCTGTATGACTCCCAATCAGAGGCAACGAGTGTCAGCTGTCGGCTGGTTGTCTCTGATTGGGAGCCATATTTATCTGTATGTTTCCTTTGGGTGTTGTGGGTTTTTGTTCCTTTACGGTCAGTGTTAACCGTTGGACTTCACGAGTCGTGTTTTGTTTGTTAGTACTTTAATATAATAAAGTCATGTTTCTTTCACACGCTGCGCCTTGGTCTACTTCGCTACTAGACGATCGTGACAGAAAAACCCACCATACAAAGACCAAGCAGCGTGTCCAGGAACACACGCAGGAGGTGACGCTGGTGGATGTCCTCCTCGGTTGGGGGCAGATTACCGAGGAGGAGGCCGTCCGGTACCGGAAGGCGATGAAGGGGGAGACCCAGGCAGGAGTGGAGAAGCGGCGTCAACCGGGCCGTGGTCGGAAAGGCGAGAGGCACCCCCAATAATTTTTTAGGGGGGGGCACACGGCATGGGCGACTGGGCAGCAGGAGGCTGCCACAGGGCGAATCGGGAGATTAAGAGAGGAGGCCACCGGCTTTTGGGGGCCAGAAGGCAGGTTGGCGGAGCCTGGATGGAGAGCAGAGCCAACTCCCCGTACTCAGGCATGGCAGCATGAGACTGGGCAGGTTCCGCGGTATGCGGAGATGCGCACTGTGCCGCGAGTGGTCCGGCATAGTCCGGTACGTCCTGTGCGAGCACCCCGCACGTGTTGTGCGAAGGTGGGCATGCAGCCAGGACGGAGTGTGCCGGCTCAGCGCTCGCGGCCTCCAGTGCCTCTCCTCGGTCCCGGATATCCTGTGCCAGTGTCACGTGCTGTTATGCCAGTACGGGTACACAGCCCTGTACGTCCTGTGCTGATGCCTCACACAGAGTGTGTGAAGGTAGGCATTCAGCCAGGACGGGTTGTGGCAGCTCTTCACTCCAGGTCTCCTATCCGTCTCCATAGCCCAGTCCGGCCTGTTCCTGCTCCACGCACCAAGCCTACGGGGTGCGTCGTCAGCCCAGCCCGGCCTGTCCCTGCTCCACGCACCAAACCTACGGTGTGCGTCGCCAGCCCTGCCCGGCCTGTTCCTGCTCCACGCACCAAACCTACGGTGTGCGTCGCCAGCCCAGCCCGGCCTGTCCCTGCTCCACGCACCAAACCTACGGTGTGCGTCGCCAGCCCAGCCCGGCCTGTCCCTGCTCCACGCACCAAGCCTACGGGGTGCGTCGCCAGCCCAGCCCGGCCTGTCCCTGCTCCACGCACCAAGCCTACGGGGTGCGTCGCCAGCCCAGCCCGGCCTGTCCCTGCTCCACGCACCAAACCTACGGTGTGCGTCGCCAGCCCGGCCCGGCCTGTTCCTGCCACTCGCACCAAACCTACGGTGCGCGTCGCCAGCCCGGCCCGGCCTGTTCCTGTCACTCGCACCAAGCCAGGGGTGCGAGTCGCCAGCCCGGCCCGGTCTGTTCCTGCCACTCGCACCAAGCCAGGGGTGCGAGTCGCCAGCCTGGTCCAGCCTGTTCCTGCCACTCGCACCAAGCCAGGGGTGCGAGTCGTCAGCCTGGTTCAGCCCGTTCCTGCTACTCGCACCAAGCCCGGGGTGCGAGTCGTCAGCCTGGTAAGACCGGTCAGCTGCTCCACAACGGAGCGTAAGCAATCCGCTCCGTCGATGTCCAGTCCAGATCCAGCCAGCGGGGTCAGACCGGACCAGGGGCGCTACGGGGGTAGTATGGAGGGGTGGTGGTCAAAGCCGGAGCCGGAGCCGCCTCCGAGGAGGAATGCCCACCCAGCCCTCCCCTGTTTGGGGTGTTTAGACGCGGTCGCAGTCCGCGCCTTTAGGGGGGGGGTACTGTCACACCCTGGCTCGGGGACTCTATATGTTGAGCCAGGGTGTGTGCATTCTATGTGTTCATTTTCTATGTTGGGTATTCTAGTTGTTCTGTTTCTATGTTTGCCTGTATGACTCCCAATCAGAGGCAACGAGTGTCAGCTGTCGGCTGGTTGTCTCTGATTGGGAGCCATATTTATCTGTATGTTTTCCTTTGGGTGTTGTGGGTTTTTGTTCCTTTACGGTCAGTGTTAACCGTTGGACTTCACGAGTCGTGTTTTGTTTGTTAGTACTTTAATATAATAAAGTCATGTTTCTTTCACACGCTGCGCCTTGGTCTACTTCGCTACTAGACGATCGTGACAGATAGCATATATACCTTGTTATTAGTTTGTACCTATAATTGTTGATCAGTTTGGTAGCATGTTAACTAACTACCAATACACTTCTTAAAACTATTTACTAGTTAATAAGAAAATAAATCAAATATGTAATTGTTCAATAATGTGTAATGTGTAATTGTTCAATAATTCAATGTGTTGTGTTTAAAAATAAAAATATCTGATCATATAAAATGTGTTGTGTTTATATTACTTTTACAAATAAAAAATATGTGATAATAAACAAACAAATCTAAACTAGCAAATGTCAAATCATATTTGTCGCCGAGATGGCCAGTCAATTTGAGTAACGTTATTGTGTATTTTACGTAATGACTCAGTTTTACGTTATTACATAATGACGTCATCACGCAATGACATCCCAACGTTATTTAGCAACTTTTAGCAATAAATCGACCTGCTTCTAGCAACTTCCCTGAAAATTTGTTGGCAACACTGCATGGCAGACCAATCCGAACTCCGAACTCGGCATGTCCAGCCCACTCATTATCTTAGCCAATCATGGCTAGTGGGAAGGTTGCTGTCTTTTTCTGTGGCTTAACCAACAAGGCTCGTAATTTAACAATTTTATTCGTATTTACAGATGGCATACAAGTTTGTTATTAAGGCACATGAAAGTTCACATGTTCCAGAAGGCATTTCTGCCAAAAAACGCATTTTGATTAAAAAAACAAAAAACTTTCAAATGGCTCTCCTGTGAAGTTGTGACTTGCGACAAAGGCCTGGTTTGCTGAAACGGGTCACATATGCTGGTGGCTAACGATGCAGTGTGCAGCTAGCAGCTTTAACAGGGGCACCTAAAACAGAGACTGGTGGAAAAGCAGCTCTCTGGCTGTAGGCCTCTTAAACAGGTCAGCATCCAGAAACTTCTGAATAAACTCCCTCTGTAGGGGTCTTCCAGTGACTCTATGGTGTTGTTGATGGCCTCCTGACATAGGAAGTTTCTCAGTTTCCCTGGATCTCAGACACTGCCATCTCCAAGGCACACATCCCAAAGGAATAGATATCCATTGCAGTGTTGACATCTACAACAGTTCCATATTCAGGGAAGAAGAAGTGCAGGTCTTTCTGTTCCTCTCTGCAGGTCTTCACATGGTTGTTGATGGTGTCTGGAGACACTGATCCCATCTTGATGAATCCGTTGTGTTGGATGAAGATGGTGTCACAAGTCAGGTTACTGTGGATGATGGGCGGCTCACAGGAGTGGAGGTAACTGAGCGCTGAGAGAATCTGGGTGCACCATCTCTGTACAAGGTTGATTTTATTCTGCACTAGTGTTGAAATTACTGCATATCTCATTTTTGTCTCTCATCTCATCTCAATACATGTTGCAGCAGAGGAACAGTGTGTGCCTCAATCCCTCTCCTTTAAATCAAAACAGTTTCTCATACCACATATGAAAATGTAATATCTAAATGTACTACCGCCCTTGTCCCTGATACCTCTAATCAAGAAAGCTGCTTATGCAGAGTAAGTCTGCGTCTCGAATGGCATACCATTCCTTATAGGGCTCCCCATAGGGCTCTGGTCAAAAGTAGTGTACTATAGGGAATAGGGTGCCATTTAGAATGCTGCCTGAGAGATATCAATCTAGGCTTCTTCGCCTGGCTTACTTTTGGGGATCTCTTTATCAAATGTCCACTGTTACAAATTAAAGTAGACTCCGCCAGGTGACACGATCATTCATTGTCATGTGTCTGATTTGCCTGACGTTGTGCGAGCCGTGTGTGATGGAAGGTGTGAAATACAGTTTCCTTAAAGCTCAGGAAGATTTCAGAGCTTAAGTCCAGAGATGACTTGAGCCTTACATCAACACCTACCAGAAGAACAAGACATAGGAAGTGATCCACATTGAAATTACAAGACATCCACATTGACAATTGATACAGTGGGAAAATAAATGACACTGTAATTTACAAGAACTATATTACATTTCAAACTAACCCTTATTCATTTCAGCCATTGCAGTAGAATACGCTTGTAAGTACCTGGAACTGACTAGTACCTTCAATGCATGTAATAATGGAGGACTTATGTGTTCTCTTCATATATTTTACCAGAAAACGTCATTAACACAAGGTTAAACCCTTGAATAATGCTACTCCTTTATGTAATACATAGTGTTGCTGAAATGCCATGACATTTTACCATTATTACAAGCAACAAACTAGTTCACCCATTCAAAACATTATGAGAAATGCATTAGGATGACCCCCTATCCCAGCAAATAAAACATATTGTACAATGCTTTACAGAGAACTTCCAGGAAATAATTTTGCTGTACTAGTGTTTGAACAAAATATGAGACGATTGTCACTGAAAATACCCCTGTTCAACCAAAGGGAATTCTTTTTTGAGGGAAAAGGGCCTTGAAAATACGACACTTTAGAGTATGACTAAAAGCTCATGGACAGAAGAGAGTGAGGTGGGGAACCATAGTGGATGCCCTATGCTCCCAAGGGGGCCAAGAGGACTAAGTCAAGTCAGAGTATGACTCAGTAATCATCAGTACTGTAGCCGTACAGAATAAAAGTGCACCAATCAATTGATAACTGCTAAACATTTGCATGACCAGCGCTTAAGCGTTTCAATCTGCTTCCTGTTGTTTGTGTATCTGTTTAACTTATTTGAACTGAGGACCCATCATGCATCATATCCACTATGTGAATCACTGTGGGAAAATGTTGGGCTACATTAACAAGGTTTGACTTCTCATTTGCTTTCTTCTCTGATTAGTTGTACTTAGTGTTAAGAGCTCATGGATCCTTGGCTTCCCTCAGGCTACTGAGAAGACTACAAACCGAGACTGAGACCCAGCATTTCCACTCACATCAGTTACAGCCTGTACATGCATTTCAGGACATACACAGAGTCGCCTATATTTACCTACATTACAGGATAGAGGGTATGAAATGTATCATTATACAGTGAGGGAAAAAAGTATTTGATCCCCTGCTGATTTTGTACGTTTGCCCACTTACAAAGAAATGATCAGTCTATAATTTTAATGGTAGGTTTATTTGAACAGTGAGAGACAGAATAACAACAAAAAAATCCAGAAAAACGCATGTCAAAAATGTTATAAATTGATTTGCATTTTAATAAGGGAAATTAGTATTTGACCCCGTCTCAATCAGAAAGATTTCTGGCTCCCAGGTGTCTTTTATACAGGTAACGATCTGAGATTAGGAGCACACTCTTAAAGGGAGTGCTCCTAATCTCAGTTTGTTACCTGAGTGGCGCAGTGGTCTAAGGCACTGCATCGCACTAGATCCTGGTTCGAATCCAGGCTCTGTCGCAGCCGGCCGCGACCGGGAGACTCATGGGCGGCGCACAATTGGCCCAGCGTCGTCCAGGGTAGGGGAGGGAATGGCCGGCAGGGATGTAGCTCAGTTGATAGAGCATGGCGTTTGCAACGCCAGGGTTGTGGGTTTGATTCCCACGGGGGGGCCAGTATAAAAAAATATATGTATTCCCTAACTGTAAGTCGCTCTGGATAAGAGTGTCTGCTAAATGACGTAAATGTAAATGTATAAAAGACACCTGTCCACAGAAACAATCAATCAATCAGATTCCAAACTCTCCACCATGGCCAAGACCAAAGAGCTCTCCAAGGATGTCAGGGACAAGATTGTAGACCTACACAAGGCTGGAATGGGCTACAAGACCATCGCCAAGCAGCTTGGTGAGAAGGTGACAATAATTGGTGCGATTATTCGCAAATGGAAGAAACACAAAATAACTGTCAATCTCCCTCAGCCTGGGGCTCCATGCAAGATCTCACCTCGTGGAGTTGCAATGATCATGAGAACGGTGAGGAATCAGCCCAGAACTACGAGGATCTTGTCAATGATCTCAAGGCAGCTGGGACCATAGTCACCAAGAAAACAATTGGTAACACACTACGCCGTGAAGGACTGAAATCCTGCAGCGCCCGCAAGGTCCCCCTGCTCAAGAAAGCACATATACAGGCCCGTCTGAAGTTTGCCAATGAACATCTGAATGATTCAGAGGAGAACTGGGTGAAAGTGTTGTGGTCAGATGGGATCAAAATCTAGCTCTTTGGCATCAACTCAACTCGCTGTGTTTGGAGGAGGAATGCTGCCTATGACCCCAAGAACACCATCCCCACCGTCAAACATGGAGGTGGAAACATTATGCTTTGGGGATGTTTTTCTGCTAAGGGGACAGGACAACTTCACCGCATCAAAGGGACGATGGACGGGGCCATGTACCATCAAATCTTGGGTGAGAACCTCCTTCCCTCAGCCAGGGCATTGAAAATGGGTCGTGGATTTGTATTCCAGCATGACAATGACCCAAAACGGCCACTTCCCTCACTGTATGTCATATTCATTTGGCACAGCATATGATTATTCACAGTGCGTAATCACATAGAGTACATCCAAGACATCATCTTTGTTAGAGGGTATTTTGTGTGTCTCTGATCATATGATGGTTATTGATGATGGATGATTGGTTGTGTGTTGCTCTATCACTACATAACATGCATTTTAATTTAATCAGAGGTTATAGCAAGGGGCACAGAGGAATTATCAGATTTCTCTGATAAATCTGATTATTGATGTATGTTATATCAGCTGGTATTATTACTTTGATGTTATGGCTATATGTTTTATAAATAATTTAATAAATTAAACCAATCAGAGTATTGCACAGTTGTTCTCCAGAACATGTTGAAGACCCCTGCTGTCACGGTCGTTATGAGATGAAGCGGACCAAGGCGCAGCGTGATATGCGTACATCTTTTATTGAAGTACACCACACGAACAAAACAACAAACCAAACGATACGTGACGTCCTAGGTTAACACCAAAACAAACCTTACGGAACAAGATCCCACAATGACTAGTGAAAACAGGCTGCCTAAGTATGGTTCCCAATCAGAGACAACGAGCTACAGCTGCCTCTGATTGGGAACCACCCTGGCCAACATAGATGTAAACGATCTAGAATGAAAACATAGAACAACTAAACATAGGAAATCCACACCCTGGCTCAACAATTAAGAGTCCCCAGAGCCAGGGCGTGAAACCTGCAGAATAGAACAGTTCTGGAGTTAATTCAAACAATTCAAGTGAGTCGATAACATGGTCAATAACTTCCACATATAATATAATATAGTGTGATATAATTGATATGATAAAGATACTATTGTTGTGATTTAAATAATGTAATAAGGAAATGGATGTCTGTGTTTTCTTTGCGCACTTTGTCTCTCACCGTTGCAGGCTAATCCATGGTTACATCGAATTATATGGTTACATGGGGACGTTAACTATGCCTTGAGGTTATTGTCATTTCTCTGATGTCATATTTGTGCTGGATAGGGGGGGGGGGCGTTGGGTAGGCTACTGAGCGGGAGTGGCTCGAGTCTCTGCCGAGCCGCGGTGCTGTGGTTGTCGCTCTCATACCCCACTCTACAAAGTTTGGCGAGCCATATCTTTCTGCAATCCAAAAGCAAATATCTTACATCGTTTCGCACAAATTCCATATTCTACAAACACAAAAACGAACAGAAGGAACTAATATCCAGAGGGTAAGTTACCATAGGCTCGGATGGGTGAAATTACGCATTAAGCTTTAATTGTTAATATCACATAAAAAAACAGGTTTGAATCAACCTGTATATATATATATAATGGAAATTGATCGTTTCATTTGTTTTTTGAACGGCATATAATAGAAAGTTGGTTTCATATACAAACTATGATCATTTGACGCATAGCTTCAACTTTCTTACTGTTATTTGTTCTTCTTCTTACGGGCTTCCTTCACGCATAGCCAACAGCCAGTCAAAGGCATATGCTGGTAACCAGCTTTTCTCCTTTTTGTTAGGTGGTCAAACATAACCAAAAATGGATGCCACCCCGGTAGAAATGTTCAAAGACGACAAGTGTATCTTGGCGCTCGCGGAAGACTGTTATATGAATTCTACTTCGCAATCTGGATATGCAGCAGATCACAATCTGACTTTTGACTCTGACGGGGAAGAGGAGTCAATGTCCCCAATCATCCCAATTATCACAGCTGTGTACTCCGTGGTGTTTGTGGTGGGCTTGGTGGGCAACTGCCTCGTCATGTATGTTATCATCAGGTAAGGTTTATTATCATTTATTTGCACACTCACCTCAATATTGCATTGATATCAATTGCCAATATATTAGCTATTTCTAAAGAGTTTTGGCTAATGAAGGGTTACACCAAGTATGCTAAAAATACAACATTTCAGTCAGATGCCCATGCATACACTTTACCACATTTTCGCACAAAAAACAAAACAAAAAAGTGAAGTTTTCTTTAAACATTTGGAACACTTGTGAGCCACCCAGTGGCAGGTGCATGTTTAAACTTAATAGTACAACATGTACAATCACTATATGGTTTGTTAGGATGTATTATTTTAGTTTCAATCATAACATACTGTACAGTTCAATTGCAGGGTAAAATACCTTTTTACTATTGGGCCTTTTTACAGTTGGAATGCTACATCTGTTGGGGCAATGTTTAAAAGTGTTCTAAATGTGTCAAGCCTATGAGAAATAGTGTTATTTGGGCAGAGAGAGAGAGCATATTAATTGCATTTAATACCAGTGGCCCTCTATCATGCTGATAGGGTTGCTTGCACCTCATTGGGTTTTATTTATGGTGTGTAAGACAGATAAAACAGTGCTGGTGTCATGCGCAGTGCACCAACCCCTCACAAAGCACTCCAGACTAGAGACAATTACCTCAAATCAGATTGATTGCACATTATCTTCCGGTGAGCAAAATTACGTATTTTAGACGTCCATGGACGTCTGCGTCCGAATATGCTCACAGGGCCATTCCGTCACCTCCCCAAGTTAGTTCCATTGATGAGCTAATAGTGATATACTCTCAGCTCTCTGTTTCATGTAGACAGCTCAGTTTACAATTGGTATATTTTTTATCCGGTTGATTGATTTTGTCTTACACATTTTCTTCTCAACAGAAGAAAATGTGTAATCAGAGCTGTGATTTATTCTAGTGTAGGCCTAGATTCAATCAGATCGAGCGTTAACCATCGTTAACCATCGTTAATCTGCTAAATGGCATATTATATTATATTATTATTATTAATCAGTATTGGCCGACATCCGCATAGCATATGTTTTGGCTGTGTTGGAGCTGACATATCGGTGAATGGCTGCTCTTGTGTGTCACAAACCCTTCCTTATTATCCCTACCACGTTACATTTTCAAAATAGCAATGGTAAGTGTAGAATCTATCGATAATAGTAATAATGACTCTCAAATGTCAAATGCTTGTTTTCATGTTAATTTGGATGGGGAATTTATAGCCGCTTGTGGATTTGACAGCTCTAACGCAGTTCCATCTCCGACACCGCCAAAACAATGCTATGTGGATGTCAATCTGATTAAATCTAGTGCCTAGATTGGGGTTTCAGTCCCGTTGTTTTGGAATTATTTTACTGTAGTCTGTCCATAAATCAGCTGTGACAGAAGTCATTGGAAGACAGAGGCCTCATCAGCCCTGCAGTGGCTGGAGCTTTATCATGTGCTCCCAATGACTAGGATTTGGCTATGTCACAAATGGCACCATATTCCCTATATAATGGACTATTTTGACCAGAACCCTATGGGCCACATACTGTATGTCTTGTGCAAAATGCAACAAAATGAGATACAAGCTTTTTGTGGGATGGTTAAAAGATATGCAAATAGATTATACACTGACATTTGCTTGTTCTTCCTCTCAACACCTTTGAGGCAGTGGTCTCCACAGCAATTACCCATTGCATGCTCCAAAAAAATAGGCTGAGTGAAATGGAGCATGTCCAAGGTATTGATCCAAAAAAAGCAACAGGCTCAGCTAACTTCTAGTGGATCATGTGTATGGTAACTGACCAATAGTCTATAACACTATACTGTATGTAGAGTGCATTCGGAAAGTATTCAGACTCCTTCCCTTTTTCCACATTGTTACGTTACAGCCTTATTCTAAAATGGAATAAATATATTTATTTCCTCATCAATCTACACAAAATACCCCATAATGACAAAGCGAAAACAGGTTTTTAAAAATGTTTGGAAATGTATTAAAAATATAAAACAGAAATACCTTATTTACATAAGTATTCAGGCCCTTTGCTATGAGACTCGAAATTGAGCTCAGGTGCATCCTGTTTCCATTGATCATCCTTGAGATGTTTCTACAACTTGATTGGAGTCCACCTGTGGTCAATTCAATTGAATGACATGATTTGGAAAGGCACACACCTGTCTATACAAGGTCCCACAGTTGACAATTTATGTCAGAGCAAAAACCAAGCCATGACGTCAAAATAATTGTCCATAGAGCTCCGAGACAGGATTGTGTCGAGACACAGATCTGGGGTAGGGTACCAAAACATTTCTGCAGCATTGAAGGTCCCCAAGAACATAGTGGCCTCCATCATTCTTAAATGGAAGAAGTTTGGAACCACCAAGACTCTTCCTAGAGCTGGCTGCCCGTCCAAAAGAAGGGCCTTGGTCAGGGAGGTGACCAAGAACCCAATTGTCACTCTGAAAGAGCTCCAGAGTTCCTCTGTGGAGATGGGAGAACCTTCCAGAAGGACAACCATCTCTGCAGCACTCCACCAATCAGGCCTTTATGGTAGAGTGGCCAGACGAAAGCCACTCCTCAGTAAAAGCCACATGACAGCCCGCTTGGAGTTTGCCAAAAGGCACCTAAAGACTCTCAGACCATGAGAAACAAGATTCTCTGGTATGATGAACTCTTTGGCCTGAATGCCAAGCGTCGCATCTGGATGAAACCTTGCACCATCCCTATGGTGAAGCATGGTGGTGGCAGCATCATGCTGTGGGGATGTTTTTCAGTGGCAGGGACTGGGGGACCAGTCAGGATCGAGGGAAAGATTAACGGAGATAAGTACAGAGAGATCCTTGATGAAAACCTGCTCCAGAGCACTCAGGACCTCAGACTAAGGCGAAGGTTCACCTTCCAACAGGACAACGACCCTAAGCACACAGCCAAGACAACGCAGGAGTGGTTTCGGGACAAGTCTTTGAATATCCTTTAGTGGCCCAGCCAGAGCCCAATCTCTGGATTGACCTGAAAATAGCTGTGCCGTGACGCTCCCCATCCAACCTGACAGAGCTTGAGAGGATCTGCAGAGAAGAATGGAAGAAACTCCCCAAATACAGGTGTGGTAAGCTTGTAGCGATCATACCCAAGAAGACTCGAGGCTGTAATCGCTGTCAAAGGTGCTTCAAAAAAGTACTGAGTAAAGGGTCTGAATACTTATGTAAATGTCATATTTCAGTTTTTTCTTTTTTATACATTTGCAAAAATGTCTAGAAACCAGTTTTTGCTTTGTCATTATGGGGTATTGTGTGTAGATTGATTAGGGGAAAAAATGATTTAATCCATTTTAGAATAAGGCTGTAACGTAACAATGTGGAAAAAGTCAAGGGGTCTGAATACTTTCCGAATGCACTGTACCTTATGCTGTAGCCATTTCAGATCTTAAAGATTAAGTTCTTTAAAGGGGTAATCTGGGATTCAAACAACAACAGCTTGGGGTAAACAGCTGAGGAACGGGGCTAGAGAAATGTAACCACACTAAAATGAGACAGAGCGATGGATGCAAGGACTGGCCATCCATGAGATCAACATTTTTGTTTCAAGCTTAGACAGTTGAGACAGCTACTGACAGGGGGAAGAGTTGAACTAATATTTTGAGACATTTATAAGTTATCCTGATTTCTTCAAGAATCAATGGCTATACAGTGCCTTGCAAAAGTATTTTTCCTATTTTGTTGCATTACAACCTGTAATTTAAATGAATTTATATTTGGATTTTATGTAATGGACATACACAAAATAGTCGAAATTGGTGAAGTGGAATGAAAAAAATAACTTCTTTCAAAAAATTCTAAAAAATAAATAACGGAAAAGTGGATCGTGCATATGAATTCACCCCCTTTGCTATGAAGCCCCTAAAGAAGATCTGGTGCAACCAATTACCTTCAGAAGTCACATAATTAGTTAAATAAAGTCCACCTGTGTGCAATCTAAGTGTCACATGATCTCAGTATATATACACCTGTTCTGAAAGGCCCCAGAGTCTGCAACACCACTAAGCAAGGGGCACCATGAAGACCAAGGAGCTCTCCAAACAGGTCAGGGACAAAGTTGTGGAGAAGTACAGATCAGGGTTGGGTTATACAAAAATATTCGAAACTTTGAGCATCTCACGGAGCACCATTAAATCCATTATTAAAAAATTTAAAGAATATGGCACCACAACAAACCTGCCAAGAGAGGGCCGCCCACCAAAACTCACAGACCCGGCAAGGAGCATTAATCAAAGGCAACAAAGAGACCAAAAATAACCCTGAAGGAGCTGCAAAGCTCCACAGCGGAGATTGGAGTATCTGTCCATAGGACCACTTTAAGCCGTACACTCCACAGAGCTGGGCTTTACGGAAGAGTGGCCAGAAAAAGCCATTGCTTAAAGAAAAAAATTAGCAAACACGTTTGGTGTTCGCCAAAAGGCATGTGGGAGACTCCCCAAACATATGGAAGAAGGTACTCTGGTCAGATGAGACAAAAATTGAGCTTTTTGGCCATCAAGGAAAACACTATGTCTGTTGCAAACCCAACACCTCTCATCACCCCGAGAACACCATCCCCACAGTGAAACATGGTGGTGGCAGCATCATGCTATGGGGATATTTTTCATCGGCAGGGACTGGGAAACTGGTCAGAATTGAAGGAACGATGGATGGCGCTAAATACAAGGAAATTCGTTTCAGTCTTCCAACATGGCTGTTGTCATTTTCTCCCCTAGTTACAGATATCGTTTTTTTCAGAGATATCAAAAGACCTTGTCTGATAATTTTGTATTGTTTTAGTCTGCCTCATGTTGTTGGGATTATCAATAGAAATTAAAATCACCAGCTCAGATGATGGCAAGGTAGACCCCTTTCCTGCAGTCAAATGACAAAATCGCCCTCTAGAGGCCTCATGGGTGGAATGTTATTCATATTTTTCATAATTAATTAACATTATTTTTTTTTAAACTCAGAAAATCCGGTGTTTCTATGTCAAACGGTTTGGTTATATTTCAGTCTTTTGTGATGTATATAACGTGTAATGTTGGGATGCAAACTCAAAATGGAATACATTTCAACTCTATATCTGACATGTTACATATGTCTTCTTAATTAAGCCCATAACCTTGTGTGTGAGTTGTATACTTTTGTTTCAAAGTAGATTTGTTTAAGACTACCAAGAAACCCTCTGTGTGACCCTGATTTAGCCCACTGCAGTAAAAGGTTTAACAGATTGGGTTTCATTTAGTTCTTTCATCAGCTGTCAATAACAATAATTGCCTGGGTTCAAATACTATTTGAAATCTTTCAAATACTGTTGGCATTTGCTCTAGTCTAGCCTTCTTCAAACCTCTCCATGGGGATTCCCAGCCATTCTATGTACAGTGCCTTCAGAAAGTATTTATACACCTTGACTTACTCCACATTTTGTTGTGATACAGCCTGAATTCAAAATTGTTGAAATATATATTTTTATCAGCCATCTACACACACTACTCCATAATGACAGAGTGAAAACATGTTTTTAGACATCTTTGCTAATTTATTGAAAAATGAAATACAGAAATACAGTATCTTATTTACATACGTATTCACACCACTGAGACAATACATGGTAGAATCTCCTTTGGCAGCAATTACAGCTGTGAGTCTTTCTGGGTAAGTCTAAGAGCGTTGCACACCTGGATTGTACAATTTTTTTTATTCTGTCAAGTTGGTTGTTGGTCATTGCTAGACAGCCATTTTCAAGTCTTGCCATTGATTTTCAAGCCGATTTAAGTCAACTGTAACTAGGCCACTCTGGATCATTGAATGTCGTGTTGGTAAGCAACTCCAGTGTAGATTTGGCCTTGTGTTTTAGGTTATTGTTCTGCTGAAAGGTGAATTAATCTCCCAGTGTCTATTGGAAAGCAGACTGAACCAGGTTTTCCTCTAGGATTTTGCCTGTGCTTAGTTCCATTCCGTATATAATATGATGCAGTCACCAAAATGCTTGAAAATATGGAGAGTGGTACTCAGTAATGTGTTGTATTGGATTTGCTCCAAACATAACACTTCCTCTCCGGCAACTGAGTTAGGAAGGACGCGTGTATCTTTGCAGTGACTAGGTTTATTGATACATCATCCAAAGTGTAATTAATAACTTCACCGTGCTCAAAGGGTTATTCAATGTCTGTTTGTTTTTTTACCCATCTACCAATAGGTGCCCTTCTTTGTGAGGCATTGGAAAACCTCCCTTGTCTTTGTGGTTGAAACTGTGTTTGAAATTCACTGCTCGACTGAGGGACCTTACAGATAATTGTATGTGTGGGGTACAGAGATGAGGTAGTCATTCAAAAAACATGTTAAACACTAACACACTGAGTCCATGCAACTTATTATTTGAATTGCACATTTTTACTACTGAACATATTTAGGCTTGCCATAAAAAAGGGGTTGAATACTTATTGACTCAAGACATTACAGCTTTACATTTTGTATGAATTTGTAAAAGATTCTAAAAAAATAACTCCACTTTGACATTATGGTTATTGTGTGCAGGCCAGTGGCACAACATCTCAATTTATTCAAATTTCAATTCAGGCTGTAAACAATAAAATGTGGAAAGAAGTCAAGGGGTGTGAATACTTTCTGAAGACATTGTATTTATACTATTCCAGAACTAGCACACCTGATTACATTTGTCAACTAATCATCAAGCCCTTGACTACTTAAATCAGGTGTGCTAGTTCAGGGCTACAACAACATTGTGAAAAATCTAAAGTATGATATATCTCAAGTATGGGTAACTGCATACATGGAATGTGTCTGAAAGTGGGCGTGGCAAAATAAGTGGGTGGATCATCAGCGATGGGTGTAACATCAGCGCTCTGTGATTGGTTAGACTGTTTTGATTGAGCGGTCTTGTTTTTAGTTTCTAAATGTGTTTTCATTGGTCAGTTCCTGTGTGTTGATACTGATGGTTTGTCGGGACATTTGCAGCCACGCAAAAACGTTTTTTACTGATAAAAAATCTTCCCATTTAGCTGTTCGCTTTCCATACACCCACTTGTGTTGATACGCCTGTATATGTTGACACGCATGTTCCGGCAGCCATGTTGACTTCCAGTTACCCATGACTCAAACGTCTGGGGGTCCCTGAGGAGAGATTTGAAAAAGACTGCTCTAGTCTGCCAGATGGACGGGGTTAGCACTCTTGTCGCTATTCTATTGTTTCCACTGTGCCATGCAGTTAAGCTCAATCAAGCCCAGATAGAGTATTTAAGATGATTTCATATAGTATTTAAACTCAGGTATGGACCTTACACAATCTACCCTACATTATTTACTCTATGCTGTTTTTGAAACAGGTACACAAAGATGAAGACGGCCACCAACATTTACATATTCAACCTGGCTCTGGCCGACGCCCTGGTCACCACGACAATGCCTTTCCAGAGCACCGACTACCTGTTGAACTCATGGCCATTTGGCGAGGTGGTGTGTAAAGTGTTCATATCCATCGACTACTACAACATGTTCACCAGCATCTTCACCCTGACCATGATGAGTGTGGACCGCTATGTGGCCGTGTGCCACCCGGTCAAAGCCCTGGACTTCCGGACTCCCATCAATGCCAAGATGATCAATGTGTGTATCTGGATGCTGTCCTCGGCAGCAGGGATACCAGCACTGCTACTGGGGGGCACCCAGACCAACAATGGTGAGAACGCACGCAGACATACACACAATCATGAAGCACGCGCACACACTCATGAAGCACGCACACAAACATGAATGCATATGCATGCATCCACACACGCACACATTTCCCAAGACAACATAATGAAAATGCCCCTGCACTGTTTGAGCTGGTTCATTGTATGTCTCTGTTTGAGTGAATCAAAGTGCAGAAGTGCCCATCTAATCTCAGAACATAGAGGCCTAATACAGCCCAATCTCGCACCTGTTTTGAAGAGGGGAAAATCATTCCATCTAAGCCATCTGTTAGTAATGAGCTTGCCATTATCTTTAAGCCACATATTATTGTTTCTAAATACAGATGAAAAAGTGAATACAGTTGAAGTCGGAAGTTTAAATACACTTAGGTTGGAGTCATTAAAACTCGTTTTTCAACCACTCCACAAATTTATTTTTAACAAACTATAGTTTTGGCAAGTCGGTTAGGACATCTACTTTGTGCATGACACAAGTAATTTTCCCAACAATTGTTTACAGACAGATTATTTCACTTATAATTCACTGTATCACAATTCTAGTGGGTCAGAAGTTTACATACACTAAGTTGACTGTGCCTTTAAACAGCTTGGAAAATTCCAGAAAATGTGGCTTTAGAAGCTTCTGATAGGCTAATTGACATAATTTGAGTCAATTGGAGGTGTGCCTGTGGATGTAGTTCAAGGCCTACCTTCAAACTCAGTGCCTATTTGCTTGACATCATGGGAAAATCAAAAGAAATCAGCCAAGACCTCAGAAAACAAATTGTAGGTCTCCACAAGTCTGGTTCATCCTTGGGAGCAATTTCTAAACGCCTGAAGGTACCACGTCTGTCTGTACAAACAATACTATGCAAGTATAAACACCATGGGACCACACAGCTGTCATATCGCTCAGGAAGGAGACATGTTCTGTCTCCTAGAGATGAATGTACTTTGGTGCGAAAAGTGCAAATCAATCCCAGAACAACAGCAAAGGACCTTGTGAAGATGCTGGAGGAAACAGGTACAAAATTATCTATATCCACAGTAAAACGAGTCCTAAATCGACATAACCTGAAAAGCCGCTCAGCAAGGAAGAAGCCACTGCTCCAAAACTGCCATAGAAAAGCCAGACTACGGTCTGCAACTGCACATGGGGACAAAGATCGTACTTTTTTGAGAAATGTGCTTTGGTCTGATGAAACAAAAATAGAACTGTTTTGCCATAATGACCATCGTTATGTTTGGAGGAAAAAGGGGGTTGCTTGCAAGCCAAAGAACACCATCCCAACCGTGAAGTACGGGGGTGGCAGCATCATGCTGTGTGGGTGCTTTGCTGCAGGAGGGACTGGTGCACTTCACAAAATAGATTGCATCATGAGGAAGGAAAATTATGTGGATATATTGAAGCAACATGGCAAGACATCTGTCACGGTTTCGGCCGAGGCTGCCTCTCTTCCTTGTTCGGGCAGGCTTCGGCGTTCGTTGTCTCCGGAATACTAGCTGCCACCGTTGTATGTTTCATGTTCGTTTGCTTTTGTCTGTTTGTTGTGACACCTGTTCTCGTTTAGCGTATTAGTGTCCTATAAGTTTCTCGTTGTGTTTGTCTAGTGTTGTGTGTGATTGATTTATTTCTGTCGTGTGTTGCTTGTAATTTGCATTTTCGCTCGGTTGAGCTTCACTCCACTGCGTTGGAGCATTTACGCACATGTTTAGTGCGCCTTCATTTTTGTCGCCTTCGTGCGTAGTTTCGCCTTCGGGCAAGTGTGTTCGTATTTTCCTTGTTGGAAATAGTACTAAAGTCTTTTGGACTATACTTCGGTGTCCTGCGCTTGATTCCACCACTACACCCACCTACAGCACTCTTGACAACATCAGTCAGGAAGTTAAAGCTTGGTCGCAAATGGGTCTTCCATATGGACAATGACCACAAGCATACTTCCAAAGTTGTGACAAAATAGCTTAAGGACAACAACGTCAAGGTATTGGAGTGGCCATCACAAAGCCCTGATCTCAATCCTATAGAAAATTTGTGGGCAGAACTGAAAAAGTGTGTGCGAGCATGGAGGCCTACAAACCTGACTCAGTTACACCAGCTCTGTCAGGAGGAATGGGCCAAAATTCACCCAACCTATTGTGGGAAGCTTGTGGAAGGCTACCCAAAATGTTTGACCCAAGTCAAACAATTTTAAGGGAATGCTACCAAATACTAATTGAGTGTATGTAAACTTCTGACCCACTGGGAATGTGATGAAAGAAATAAAAGCTGAAATAAATAATTCTCTCTACTATTATTCTGACATTTCACATTCTTAAAATAAAGTGGTGATCCTAACTGACCTAAGACAGGGATTTTTTACTAGGATTAAATGTCAGGAATTGTGAAAAACTGAGTTTAAATGTATTTGGCTAAGGTTTATGTAAACTTCCGACTTCAACTGTAAGTGAGAAAAAGTGGATGTTCCCTTTTGAGTTTACATTAGGCATTCCATAACAGCATCGTAGAGTGAGAGATGAACCAGACACAGAGGGAAATGTATGTGTTCTCAGAACACTTTGTTTGAGCCTAGGTGCATTTCATCAGTGCTCTCTTTTTCTCGACCTCTCCTCTCCTCTCCTCTCCTCTCCTCTCCTCTCCTCTCCTCTCCTCTCCTCTCCTCTCCTCTCCTCTCCTCTCCCTCCCTCTAGGTACCACGGAGTGTGCCTTACAATTCCCCGAGCCGTACGTGTACTGGGACACCCTGATGAAGATCTGTGTGTTTGTGTTTGCCTTCGTGGTGCCTGTGCTCATCATCACCGTGTGCTACTCCCTCATGGTGCTACGACTCAAGAGCGTGCGTCTCCTCTCTGGCTCCCGAGAGAAGGACCGCAACCTGCGACGCATCACCCGCCTGGTCATGGTGGTGGTGGTGGTGTTCGTAGTGTGCTGGACGCCCATCCACATCTTCATCCTGGTCAAGGCGCTGGTGAGCGTTCCCGAGACCACCGCCGTCATGGCCGCCTACTTCTTCTGCGTAGCGTTGGGCTACACCAACAGCAGCCTCAACCCCGTCCTCTACGCATTCCTGGATGAGAACTTCAAGAGGTGCTTCAGGGACTTCTGTGTCCCGACAAAGCTGAAGAAGGGGGACAAGGGGTCGGGTAAAAACAACACCGTAAGGTCCCGGGAGGCCCCGGTTCCACTGGAGAACCCACATGGGACTATAAGTCCAGCATGACTAGCCATGGAAGTGTCTTTCATTTCCCAAGTTGGAAAGGAAGATTCTACTGATCTGGGACTAACCCAGGCGACATCAGGAATGTGAGCACAGCAGTGCTACTGTTCCTCTCTGTAAATAGCTCACACTAGATGACTGGTGTTCCATTGGTTCTCTTTCAGTTATTTGTTTCGATATCTCACAAAGGGATTCGCTAGGATCACCTACTCTCTGAAGAATCTATCAAAAGCGGCTGTTGGAGACAGAGCCATAGAGTGGTGAATGAGGTGAGCCCCTCACCTCCTTTAAAGGAGCCACTCTCCCGCTCTCTGGTTATTCTTGCCTCTCTTCCAAATGAAGAGTATTACTCTCTAGGTCACCTCAGATCAACAGGATCCCTGTTTTCCTGCTTAACGGCTCACAAGTGAACCGTGAAGGATATCGCTTTGAGCGTAGGTCTTCAGACCCTGTCAAGAGGTTGAGTACTGACCGAAAGGTTTGTGTTTTGTGCATACATTTCTTTTCTACTTCTCAGTCTCCATTGGTAGCTAGCTTCATGGCTATTGAAACTCGGTTAGCCCACGCTGCAAGGCTAACTTAGCTAACTTGGCTAGCTCGCTTAGAGCCAAGCTAACCTCACTAGCATATCCTACCTGCAACACCGTAGCATTGCTAGCTCCCTTCTCTCGTCTAGTTTAACCTACGTTCACCCGTTTGTGTTAATTAGACCGACCGTCTCAGCCTCACGGCTCCTTTGGTCGCGGGAGCACACTATCTGAAGGCTAACTCTGCCCCCACTTGGTTTCCTTCAGCCAACACTGAGCTAGCTATGCCACACATTCACCAAGTGGTAGCTGCTAGCTAGTTAACAGCCCACTAGCCTTGGGGCTATAGCGTACTACTGTGCTCATTATTGCTAGCTGTTAGCCACAAGGCTTCTAACTAGCTAGCTTATTACGCTGTTTACATGAGCTACTATTTCCGAGCCACCAGCCACAAGGCTTCTAACTAGCTAGCCTATGCCATCTACACGTTGTTCTTACAAAAGGTGTTGCTTTGTCCCCCTAGCAAGCCCTAGCAAGTTCCTCACAATTGCCACTGCTATCCCATCCCAGGATGAGCCCACACAAACCCCCACGTTCTTCAAATCAAAAAAGGTTATTGGTCACATCCACAGATTTGCAGATGTTATCATAGGTGCAGTGAAATGCTTATGTTTCAAGCTCCAACAGTGCAGTAATATCTAGCAATACAATAACCAAAAAGTAAGAAATATCAGAACAAGCAATATCAGAACGAGCAATGTCAGAGTCCGAAACATATATATATATATATATATATATATATATATCAGTACCATTCAAAAGTTTGGACACACCTACTAATTCCAGGGCACACCTACTCATTTGGACACACCTACTCATTCCATTTTCTACATTGTAGAATAATAGTGAAGACATCAAAACTATGACATAACACATATGGAATCATGTAGTAACCAAAAAAGTGTTAAACAAATCCAAATATATTTTATTGATGACAGCTTTGCACACTCTTGGCATTCTCTCAACCAGCTTCATGAGATAGTCACCTGGAATGCATTTCAATTAACAGGTGTGCCTTCTTAAAAGTTAATTTGTGGAATGATTTCCTTCTTAATGCGTTTTAGCCAATCAGTTGTGTTGTGACAAGTTAGGGGGGGTATACAGAAGATAACCCTATTTGGTAAAAGACCAAGTCCATATTATGGCAAGAACAGCTCAAATAAGCAAAGAGAAACGACAGTCCATCATTACTTTAAGACAGTCAACACGGAACATTTCAAAAACGTTGAAAGTTTCTTCAAGTGCAGTCGCAAAAACCATCAAGCGCTATGATGAAACTGGCTCTCATGAGGACCGCCACAGGAATGGAAGACCCAGTAAACCTTGCTGCAGAGGATAAGTTAATTAGAGTTACCAGCCTCAGAAATTGCAGCCCAAATAAATGCTTCACAGAGTTCAAGTAACAGACACATCTCAACATCAACTGTTCAGAGGGGACTGTGTGAATCAGGCCTTCATGGTCGAATTGCTGCAAAGAAACCACTACTAAAGGACACCAATAAGAAGAAGAGACCTGCTTGGGCCAAGAAACACGAACAATGGACATTAGACCGGTGGAAATTTGTCCTTTGGTCTGGAGTCCAAATTTGAGATTTCTGGATCCAACCACTGTGTCTTTGTGAGATGCGATGTAGGTGAACGGATGATCTCCGCATGTGTATTTCCCCCCGTAAAGCATGGAGGAAGAGGTGTTATGGTGTGGGGGTGCTGTGTTGGTGACACTGTCTGTGATTTATTTAGAATTCAAGGCACAGTTAAACCAGCATGGCTACCACAGAATTATACAGCGATACGCCATCCAATCTGGTTTGGGCTTAGTGGGACTATCGTTTGTTTTTCAACAGGACAATGACCCAACACACCTCCAGGCTATGTAAGGGCTATTTTATATCCAATGAGTTTTGAAGCATTTGGCTGAATCTGAGCAGATAATATAACCCTAAACACTTAATAATTCATCCTGCTGCTTTTGTCAGCAGTCACATCATCAATAAATACATTGGCAGCCATACATGCCCACGCCATAACACTACCTCCACCATGCTTCACAGATGAGGTGGTATGCTTCGGATCATGAGCAGTTCCTTCCCTTCTTCATACTCTTCTCTTCCCATCATTCTGGTACAAGTTAATCTTTGTCTCATCTGTCCATAGGATGTTGTTCCAGAACTGTACAGTTTTTGTAGATGTTTTTTGGCAAACTCTAATCTGGTCTTCCTGTTTTTGAGGCTTACCATTGGTTTACATCTTGTGATAAACCCTCTGTATTTACTCTGGTGAAGTCTTCTCTTGATTGTTGACTTTGACACAGATACGCCTACCTCCTGGAGGGTGTTCTTGATCTGACCAACTGTTGTGAAGGGGTTTTTCTTCACCAGGGAAATAATTATTCTGTCATCCATCACAGTTGTTTTCCGTGGTCTTCCAGGCCTTTTGGTGTTCCTGAGCTCACCAGGGTGTTCTTTCTTTTTAAGAATGTACCAAATAGTTGATTTGGCCACACCACATGTGTTTGCTATCTCTCTGATGGGTTTGTTATGATTTTTCAGCCTAATGATGGCTTGCTTCACTGGCAGTGACAGCTCTTTGGACATCATATTGAGGGTTAACAGCAACAGATTCCAAATGCAAATGCCACACTTGAAATCAACTCTAGACCTTTTATCTGCTTGCTTGTAAATGAACTAATGAGGGAATAACACACACCTGGCCATGGAACAGCTGAGCAGCCAATTGTCCAATTACTTTTGGTCCCTTAAAAAGGGGGGGGGGGGGGGGGGGGGACCACATGTAAAAAGTGCTGTAATTCCTACACTGTTCACCCGATTTGGATGTAAATACCCTCAAATTAAAACTGTGGTAGACAGCTAAAATAATAATAACTTGGTCAATGTCCAAATATTTATGGACCTGACTGTACAAAGATAGTGCATTCGGAAAGTATTCAGACCCCTTGACATTTTGTTACATTACAGCCTTGTCATCAATCTACACACAATACCTCATAATGACAAAGCAAAACAGATTTTTAGATTTTTCTTTGCTAATTTATAAACAAATAACACACTGAAGTATGACATTTACATAAGTATTCAAACCCTTTTATTCAGTACTTTGTTGAAGCACCTTTGGCAGCGATTACAGCCTCAAGTCTTCTTGGGTATGACGCTACAAGCTTGGCACATTTGTTTTTGGGGAGTTTCTCCCATTCTTCTCTGCAGATCCTCTCAAGCTCTGTCAGGTTGGATAGGGAGCATTGCTGCACAGCTATTTTCAGGTCTCTCCAGAGATTTTCGATCAGGTTCAAGTCCAGGCTCTGGATGTGCCAATCAAGGACATTTAGAGACTAGGCCTGAAGCCAATCCTGCATTGTCTTGGCTGTGTGCTTAGGGTTGTTGTCCTGTTGGAAGGTGAACCTTTGCCCCAGTCTGAGGTCCTGAGCAGGTTTTCATCAAGGAGCTCTCTGTACTTTGCACCGTTCATCTTTCCCTCGATCCTGACTAGTCTCCCAGTCTGTGCCACTGAAAAACATCCCCACAGCATGATGCTGCCACCACCATGCTTCACCGTAGGGATGGTGCCAGGTTTCCTCCAGACGGGATACTTGGCATTCAGGTCAAATAGTTCAATCTTGGTTTCATCAGACCAGAGAATCTTGTTTTTCATTTACAATAAAAAAAAAAAAAACATTTTAGTCATTTTAGCAGACACTCTTATCCAGAGCGACTTACAGGAGCAATTAGGGTTAAGTGCCTTCCTCAAGGGCACAACGACAGATTTTTCACCTAGTCAGCTTGGGGATTAGAACCAGCGACCTTTCGGTTACTGGCACAACGCTCTTAACCACTAAGCTACCTGCCACCCCATGGTCTGAGAGTTCCTTAGGTGCCTTTTGGCAAACTCCAAGTGGGCTGTCATGTGCCTTTTACTGAGGAGTGACTTCCGTCTGGTTACTCTACCATAAAGGCCTGATTGGTGGAGTGCTGCCGAGATGGTTGTCCTTCTGGAAGGTTCTCCCATCTCCACAGAGGAACTCTGGAGCTCTGTCAGAGTGACCATCGGTTTTTTGGTCACCTCTCTGACCAAGGCCCTTCTCCCCCGATTGCTCAGTTTGGCCGGGCGGCCAGCTCTAGGAAGAGTCTTGGTGGTTCCAAACTTCTTCCATTTAAGAGGTCAATGTGTTGTTGGGGACCTTCAATGCTGCAGAAATGTTTTGGTACCCTTCCCCAGATCTGTGCCTCGACACAATCATGGCTTGGTTTTTGCTCTGACATGCACTGTCAACTGTGGGACCTTATATAGACAGGTGTATGCCTTTCCAAATCATGTCCAATCAATTGAATTGACCACAGGTGGATGATCAATGGAAACAGGATTCACCTGAGCTCAATCTCGAGTCTCATTGCAAAGGGTCTGAATACTTATGTAGAGAAGGTATTTCCGTTTTTAATTTTTATACATTTGCAAAATTTCTAAAAACCTGTTTTCACTTTGTCTTTATGGGGTATTGTGTGTAGATTGATGAGGGAAAAAAATATATTTTATCCATTTTAGAATAAGGCTGTAACGTAACAAAATGTGGATAAAGGGAAGGGGTCTGAATACTTTCCGAATGCGCTTTATATATACACTAAAAAGTATGTGGACACCCCTTAAAATTAGTGGATTCTGCTATTTCAGCCACACCCATTGCTGACAGGTGTATAAAATCAAGCGCACAGCCATGCATTCTCCATAGACATACATTGGCAGTAAAATGTACTGAAGAGCTCACCAACTTTCACCGTCATAGGATACCACCTTTCCAACAAGTCAGTTGGTCAAATTTCTGCCCTGCTAGAGCTGCCCCGGTCAACTGTAAATGCTGTTATTGTGAAGTGGAAACGTCTAGGAGCAACAACGGCTCAGCTGCGAAGTGGTAGGCCACACGAGCTCACAGAGCGGGACCGCTGAGTGCTGAAATGCGAAGTGCGTAAAAATCGTCTGTCCTCGGTTGCAACACTCACTACTGAGTTCCAAACTGCCTCTGGAAGCAACGTCAGCACAAGAACTGTTCGTCAGAAACTTCATGAAATGGGTTTCCATGGCCGAGCAACCGCACACAAGCCTAAGATCACCATGTGCAATGCCAAGTGTCGGCTGGAGTGGTGTAAAGCTCGCCGCTATTGGACTCTGGAGCTGTGGAAACGCGTTCTCTGGAGTGATGAATCACAGTCCGATGGACGAATCTGGGTTTGGCGGTTGCCGGGAGAACATAGTGCCAACTGTACATTTTGGTGGAGGGTGAATAATGGTCTGGGGCTGTTTTTCATGGTTCAGGCTAGGCCGCTTAGTTCCAGTGAAGGGAAATCTTAACGCTACTGCATACAATGAATGACATTCTAGCCAATTCTGTGCTTCCAGCTTTGTGGCAACAGTTTGGGGAAGACCCTTTCCTGTTTCAGCATGACAATGCCCCCGTGCACAAAGCGAGGTCCATTCAGAAATGATTTGTCGAGATTGGTGTGGAAGAGCTTGACTGGCCTGCACAGAGCCCTGACCTCATTTTCCAACATCTAGTGGAAAGCCTTTCCGGAAGAGTGGAGGCTGTTATAGCAGGAAAGGGTTGACCAACTCCATATTAATGCCCATGATTTTGGAATGAGATGTTCGACGAGCACATACTTTTGGCCATGTAGTGTAATATATATATATATACATAGAAAGTGGGTGAAACAGTATGTAAACGTTATTAAAGTGACCAGTGTTCAATTACTCTATGTAGATAGGGCAGTAGTCTCTAAGGTTCAAGGTAGGGTACCGGGTGGTAGCCGGCTAGTGACAGTGTCTAAGGCTCAGGGCAGGGTGTCCTTGCACATGCGGTTTCATGATTGCGGGGAAAGATTCCCACCCTCTTTGCATGAATTGCTTGGGTAAGGAACATGCCCAAGAGGTGCTAAACAACCCTTAGTCCTGTGAGCACCGCAAACTGCTGACGAGGGCAGGTCTGAAGAGGAGGCTTAAATGAGTTTCTATCTCGGTAGCCCCTCTCGCCTCTGAGCCAACAGCGACAGATGAGGCTCAGCTCCCCGCAACCGAGCCCAGTTGGGGCGAGGCCATGGATAGCCTTGACTCCCTCCCCTTACTGTCTGACGACGTAGTGTCAGAGCTAGGGGATGACGAGGATGACGATGGGATTAATCTCACGGATATCCTCGAGCTAGCTCAGGAGATCGGCTTGACGACCCCGTTCTCCCGCCCTCTCAGGCCCGCAGGTCTGACGGCCCGACAGCAGTGAAGCTGCCCCTCCTCCATTGGAGTTTCAGCTCCTTCATGTCTGCAAGCGGGCTGCGGCCTGACTCGGCATCGAGTGGCCATCTCCTGTAGGGGCTGAGGGCCCGTTAAGAACCTATACGATGGGAAGAGACTCCTGCAGTACCAGCTTGCCTCAGGAATGCTGAGAGGTTGAGGGACAAAGTCCTCACTAGCAATATTCTTGCTATTGGCAACCCTCCCACGGTGGAGCCATTACTGGCTGACCAACTCAGCCCCTCGTTTTGTGTTACTATCTACATAAGCGCCTAATTTCCTAGGAAGACGGAGCGCTTTACTGCCTCCGTTTTTCAGAAGACGTATAAGGCCTCGGCCTAAGCAATCAGAGCTCTCAATGGGACCTCTTTATTGTTTTCTGAGATACTGGAGGAGGTAGGGAAGCAACTGGACTTGGACACCCTAGACCCATATGCTTGGGAGGAGATCTGTATAATTACAGACCTAAACCTCTGTTCCTCCCGTAGTGCCATTCAAGGCTGTGCTCATACCATGATCCTAGCAGTGGTGGGAGAAAGGGCTCTTTGACTGAGCTTATCCAGCTTAACAGAGAAAGAAAAAGTGGACCTCCTGGATGCCCCAGTGACACCCAAGGAGTTTTTCGGGCCTACTGTCGCCGCCGGCAGAAGTGTGACATGTGCAAGAAAGAAGGCGAAGGGGGGTGCCGAGGGATTATTTAAAATACTCTTTGAAGAGGTAGGGTTTTAGATGTTTTCAGAAGATGGGCAGTCTGCCAAGAATCAGGCTAGGCACCTGAACCAGGCCAAACCTGTAGGAAAGCAGTTATATGCTGCAGCCGCAGTAAGGATCCACCACTCTAACCCTCCTAAGGGAGGTAATAAGGGGCGGCCAACCTACGGCTCCCTGCCCTACCTTCTGTCTTCGGGTTTGACGTTTGCCACTCTGAAGTTTTCGCAGCAGTGGGAAGGCATGTCTGCATTAAGACAAATCCCTATTCTCTGTGCAGCGGTGAGGCTGCCTCTCACCCGACTCACCGTCCCTCCGCTCTCCCTCCCTGGTTGAGAAAAGGGGACACAGTCTTCCAGCTGATGGCAAAACTCGAGTCGCACTGCATTATTTCTGCCTCATGCACCAATTCATGTTGTTACTCCTATGACCAGAGAAAGTGAAATATTGCTTGATATTAAAAAAGACACAAGCCGCTAATAATAACAACGCAAGCTTATCAAAACACTTTGCTATATTCATTCATTGCAACTGCAGTGCTGGTTGTAGCGTGAGTAGAATTTGGGAGAACGTGCATTTTATGGCTTATAAAAGTGTTGAACAAAGTGTTGACAGTGCTAAATAACAACTTAAAGATGAACTTTCTTATAAAAACATCAGCTCTTTGCTGTATTCATTGAGTCTGTCTCTAGTCATGGTTTTAAACGTTTTTAAACCTCACAGTATCAACTTTGCTGTGCGCACAAGGCTTCTTTTTACAACCTATGGCTTGAGAAAACTGTTCAGACATAGTGATCTGAGCGCTAGGGCTGCTGAATCAAGTGCACCTACCGGCAACAGCGCTAAACAGAAAAATATATAGGAACGCAAGGCTTTATCGTTGTTATTTTTTACAGAAATGTTTGGGGATCGACTACGAATGCCTTGGAGATCAACCACTGGTGTATTCTATGGAGTTGTTGAGCCAAAGGCCTCTGCATTGTGGTCTGCATGATGGTTGCTGCAAAATATCTGCAAAAAATTAACTTCAGTCAGAGTATCGTTTAGAAATGTTTAAAGGTGAAATCCTCAGGGACATAGAATGGGTAAAATATTTCTGCCTTGTAATATAGATACTGGTGAGAATTCACTCTAAAATATGTTAAGTGCTACAAGTTTTATTTGCTATTTTCTATAAATGTATGTAGTGGTACTCTATTTATTTACATATCTTATTGACTGTTTATTTTTTGTCCATTAATGTTTAATGTATCTATTTATCTATATTGTATCTATATTGTTCTGTCTCTTTCTGTGAATTCCAAATGGCATCCTATTCCCTATATAGTGCACTACTTTTGACCAAAGTACAGTATGTCAAAGGTCAAAGGTAGTGCACTATATATGGAATAGGTTGCTATTTTGGACACAGATTTGTCTTTCTGTATGTTTCTAGACTATATATGCCTTTTACAGTCCAGGATACAGTGGGATACATCTCCAGGCAAAAGTAAAGATGTAATACTACAACATGTTAACTTGAGTCAAGTAACTTCCCATTGAGCTAATTGAAAATATGTATTTTTGGTTGAAAAGACGTTAAATATATGAATTATACTGATTTTGCTTACTGGGAACATGGTCATTAAGAAGAGGAAGAATTAAGCTTACCGTATGCTTCCCAATCTAAACAGTTTGCGCATATATAATGACGACATTCCTTGAAGTTTTTATTCAACAGGTTGTTTTTGGGCTGTTCTTGCACACACATTTTTTATTCATGCAAGTCGAAGTTCGGTAGCCGAAATCTACACCCCTTTGTCAGTGATTGGTCAACAGTACTACTCCTGGTAGGAGTGGGAACTATGGGCGGGATTCTTCAATTAAGTGTTTGTTGTCATTCAACGAGAGACGACTAGTTTTCATGCAAATATTTTCACTTGAGAAATACTGCATCAAACATTTAGTTAGATTTAAAATTGCCTGACTAAGACCTCCTCTGCAAAAATGTCAAAATTAATGTCTAAGATTAATTCGGCCTATTTTGAGAAAGTGTTACTGGGTATGTTGTTGCTACGGTGGCTCAAGAGGGACAAACAACAGTAATATTGCCGCTTTTTTCTTGTTTTTCAAGTGAAGTTCTTTAGGGAGTATGCGAGCACAGACGTTCGTTTCGCCTAGCTGAGTTCTGCTAGACGCAAACCAAACCTATGTATGCAGACGCCTTTACTGTAGGTGACTTGAGACAGGCTCTTGTGAAAATCCTGGACTTGAATGTTTATAGTATGAATTTTTTAAACAGGGCTTAAATCAACTTTGACGTCTGGAGCTATCTCCTGTATGTCAAGTTGTTAATTTTATGATATCCAACTTGCGCCTGGATACAAATATTCATATTTGGATATACATATTCTTACAGTAGAGAAACGTGAGTAAATCAATGCAATCTAAGAAAATAAAGACTGCTTTATATGAATTTGTCATGCATGTGGTTGAATATTCAGATTACTGTATGATAAAATATACATAAATAAATACTGTATGTATGGTATATATCTTTGCACAGACATCATTTGTACCATCAAATGTACCAGTATTTCAAGCATGTCAATGAGCATTGCAAATGGGACATATAAGAGTTTAAACGTTTGATCAAGCAACGTTAACAAAGTAAAGGCATGATAGTCAGCTCCGTCTGTAAATGTTCTAATTTTCGCCGGTTCTCCTTTGGAATGTATATTCAATGACTAAGATGTACTGTGTATCTTACATGCCATTCATTCTTAGAATCATTTCATTCATATAACAAGTGATTCATTCTCAGAGCCATATAATACATAATAAATACATTCCTCTTCAGTTTAAAGGGCAAATAAATACATTCCTCTTCAGTTTAAAGGGGCAATCTGGGATTGGTACATCCATTTTTGGACTATTAAATGAATTATATATAACCATTGATTCTTGAAGAATATAACTTATGAATGAGCTTAGTTCAACGATCATACCCCATCACCTTTTAGTCATTACAAAGGCACATGCACACAGTTATTTAAGTGCCTCTCTACCTGTGAAAACACAGAAGAACAAACATTTTAAAATGTGTTTAGAGTTACTGACAACAAAAGCCTTTGGGCTATGATTCAGAAAAAGAAGCTGTGGTGATATGGCTGCTATATCTAAGGAGCTGAAGGAGTGCAATTAGGCCTACACTAAGTGTGTGTGTGTATGTGCACAAAGTTAATGAAATAAAAACGGTAATGTCATCTCACTACTACAGTACATCTCATTGACTGGGATGAGCTTTTAATCATATTTATCTCTCAATTAACTTCTCCCTTTTACTACTACAAATATATCATAGATATCAAGGGCTATTTGCATGTGGACATTTAATTAACCTTTTAACTCTTAGATGTTAAGTCCCCTATTTAGGGAACTTTGAGCGGTTCTGGACCAGTGCCGACTGACATTGTAGTGTACAAAACGCTCTGTGAACATTGCAGGGTCCAGTGCCTTATAGTGCCAGAAAGCCCCATCTCTGCTTCCCGCTACCACTCTGTCAGCAGAGCTGACCCGAAGTGTCAGGTTTCAAACCCGACATTTGCATATGGAGTGATGTGTCACATTTCTTGGCATATCCAGACAAATACTGGATTTCCTCTGCCTCTGAGCGACGGAGCCTGGCCTGGGAGATGGCACATTAAAAGGAACAGTCTAGCAAATCCAGCAATCATGGTTTCAACTCGGATTTAGAGCTCTCAACATACAAAAAATACTAAATAAGTTTGTAGAATTGAAGCACGACCACTTTCTCTTGGTCACAGAGGGACAAAATCACTGTGTGTGTAAAGCTGAAGTTGTAACGAGTCCGCAGAACGGTGTCTCTGCGTCACTCAGAGGACGCTTGGCAGAAAATGCCCTGTCATCAGTTATATGAAATCGGACCAAATTCGTCACTAAATATGATCATATTTATTTTTACAGTAAAAAGAAAGGTGAAATCTTAGTTGTTTATCATTTAATTGTTACTATATTTAGAAAGCATTTCAGTAATTTCAAGCCCTATTCCCCCACTTTTGTTGAATAGGGAAAGAATATATATGATTTTTTATATTTTAATAATATTTGAGCTTCTGTCCTCAAGTGAGTACACCTCAGCAATTTATAACTATTTTTACCATAAAGGTGAGTTCCAGACCTTTCTAGAACTATGCAGCATTACTAGTTATTGTTTATGGCCATCTCCAAAAATAATTACTTTTGGATATGTCTATTTGGGAGGAAATCTACATTTTGCAATAACTTTCAAGAGGCCTTTTAAATGGCTCAAAATAGCTACAATATTTTTTTTCAAAATTATGGGAACAGGCTATATTCCCAGACAGTTCTATTTGCCATTAGTTTTCCATAAAGGATAGATTTATCAAGACTCCAGAGAACTGAAATTGAAATAGTATTGGATTTATCATATTGCATTAGTGTCCTTTTGTTTGTCTAGTAGACTCCAACAATGTAGACATTACATATTAAGTCTGGATACACAATGGATCTAGCTATGGTCCATTTTATGTAGGCTAACATAATGTTCAAGTGTTTGATCACAATCAGGTAGATTATACAAAGCATTCTGTACACAGAGGCCAATCAGTAATTCAATAATTTGTTTCAATATCCAGTATATGTATTTCTGGCTATTATGTAGTACAGGTATGAATAACTTCTTTAAATTACAATTTGAGCCAAAACATATTATGTGAATAGGCTGCTGTGATAGTTATGGATCACATAATGCATGTTTCTGGAGCGTCACCTGTTGGAAAACAAATGTTACTCTCTTAATATATACAAAAATATGTGGACACCTGCTCATCGAACATCTCATTCCAAAATCATGGGCATTAATATGGAGTTGGTCCTCCCTTTGCTGCTATAACAGCCTCCACTCTGGGAAGGCTTTCCACTAGATGTTGGAACATTGCTGCAGGGACTTGCTTCCATTCAGCCACAAGAGCATTAGTGTGGTTGGGCACTGATGTTGGGCGATCAGGCCTGGATCACAGTCGGCGTTCCAATTCATCCCAAAGGTTTTCGATGGGGTTGAGGTCAGGGCTCTGTGCAGGCCAGTCAAGTTCTTCCACACTGATCTCGACAAACCATTTCTTTATGGACCTTGCTTTGTGCACGGGGGCATTGTCATCCTAAAACAGGAAAGGGCCTTCCCCAAACTGTTGCCACAAAGTTGGAAGCACAGAATTGTCTAGAATGTCATTGTATGCTCTAGTGTTAAGATTTCCCTTCACTGGAACTAAGGGGCCAAGCCCGAACCATGAAAAACAGCCCCAGACCATTATTCCTCCTCCACCAAACTTTACAGTTGGCACTATGCATTTGAGCAGGTAGCATTACTCCTGGCATCCGCCAAACCCATATTCATCGGTCGGACAGCCAGATGGTGAAGCGTGATTCATCACTCCAGAGAACGCGTTTCCACTGCTCCACTGCTCCAGAGTCCAATGGTGGCGAGCTTTACACCACTCAAGCCAACACTTGGCATTGCGCATGGTGATCTTAGGCTTGTGTGCGGCTGCTCGGCCATGGAAGCACAATTTGGAACTCGGTTGTGAGTGTTGCAACCGAGGACAGATGATTTTTATGCACTACACACTTCAGCACTCGGCAGTCCCGTTCATTGAGCTTGTGTGGCCTACCACTTTGCGGCTGAGCCATTGTTGCTCCTAGTCGTCTCCACTTCACAATAACAGCACTTACAGTTGACCGGGGCAGCTCTAGCAGGGCAGAAATTTGACGAACTGACTTGTTGGAAAGGTGGCATCCTATGACGGTGCCACGTTGAAAGTCACTGAGCTCTTCAGTAAGGCCATTCTACTGCCAATGTTTGTCTATGGAGATTGCATAGCTGTGTGCTCAATTGTATTCAACTGTCCGCAACGGGTGTGGCTGAAATAGCTAATTTGAATAGCTAATCGACTAATTTGAAGGGGTGTCCACATACTTTTGTATATATAGTGTAGCTCTGGAGGAAAGATAGAAGAGTGTGCTGAAATAGCAGTGGGCCGGATTTTAACCCATTTGCAGAGGTATAAACTGTATGTGAGGAAGCGGCTAAGACCCGTAGGCCACAGGAATTTTCATTGTTTGCGTTGGATTACATTGCTCACTCTTCCTCCCTCTAACTCCACCTCCTGGCAGAACAAGGAAGTCCCTCCCTCTCCTACAAACTTTCTTCCAAGAAAATACATTTACATTTACATTTTAGTCATTTAGCAGACGCTCTTATCCAGAGCGACTTACAGGAGCAATTAGGGTTAAGTGCCTTGCTTAAGGGCACATCGACAGATTTTTCACCTAGTCGGCTCGGGGATTAGAACCAGCGACCTTTCGGTTAAAATACAATGTAAGAGTCTCTGTTTCTATGTCTGTGTGAGAGTGAACAACAGTCCAAATGGCTCAGCAGGGAAGCCCTCATGTTCTGTCTGGTGTCTTCTTGCAAGACTCACCTCCAGCCTCACTACAGTGTCCCTGCACTAAAGAAGCACCAGCTGGTCAAAGCCTCCACACATCTACAGGAGAAGATCTGCTCCCATCATGATGAACTGCTGAAGATTTACTGATTGTTGCTGCCTTCTTGGCCAGGTCTCCCTTGAAAGAGACTCTGGGTCTCAATGGGCTTTTCCTAGTTAAATAAAGGTTAAATAAAAAATGTACTACCTTACTGATCAGAATTGTATTGGTTATCTGTGTATGATGGATGAACATAAAGGCCATGATACAGTGTCAGCTGCAGCAGAGAAGACAGAACTAGGTTAGACCAGAACAACTTGTTGGTGACTCTGATAAAATGTGTAAGAACTCCATAGGTGTATGAGTGTGTCACATGTGTGGTCGTGCAAAACCAAGAGTCAGACAAGGCAATTCAGTTCTCAAATGGGGATTTATTAACACAAAAAACGTAATGTCCCAAAATAAGTTCTCACTCAAACATGGCAAACGCTCCAAATCAAACACTGGCCCTTTAAGGCAATAACTAAAGTAAACTTATACAGTGGGGGAAAAAGTATTTAGTCAGCCACCAATTGTGCAAGTTCTCCCACTTAAAAAGATGAGAGAGGCCTGTAATTTTCATCATAGGTACACGTCAACTATGACAGACAAATTGAGGAAAAAAAATCCAGAAAATCACTTTGTAGGATTTTTAATGAATTTATTTGCAAATGATGGTGGAAAATAAGTATTTGGTCACCTACAAACAAGCAAGATTTCTGGCTCTCACAGACCTGTAACTTCTTCTTTAAGAGGCTCCTCTGTCCTCCACTCGTTACCTGTATTAATGGCACCTGTTTGAACTTCTTATCAGTATAAAAGACACCTGTCCACAACCTCAAACAGTCACACTCCAAACTCCACTATGGCCAAGACCAAAGAGCTGTCAAAGGACACCAGAAACAAAATGGTAGACCTGCACCAGGCTGGGAAGACTGAATCTGCAATAGGTAAGCAGCTTGGTTTGAAGAAATCAACTGTGGGAGCAATTATTAGGAAATGGAAGACATACAAGACCACTGATAATCTCCCTCGATCTGGGGCTCCACGCAAGATCTCACCCCGTGGGGTCAAAATGATCACAAGAACGGTGAGCAAAAATCCCAGAACCACACGGGGGGACCTAGTGAATGACCTGCAGAGAGCTGGGACCAAAGTAACAAAGCCTACCATCAGTAACACACTACGCCGCCAGGGACTCAAATCCTGCAGTGCCAGACGTGTCCCCCTGCTTAAGCCAGTACATGTCCAGGCCCGTCTGAAGTTTGCTAGAGTGCATTTGGATGATCCAGAAGAGGATTGGGAGAATGTCATATGGTCAGATGAAACCAAAACAGAACTTTTTGGTAAAAACTCAACTCGTCGTGTTTGGAGGACAAAGAATGCTGAGTTGCATCCAAAGAACACCATACCTACTGTGAAGCATGGGGGTGGAAACATCATGCTTTTGGGCTGTTTTTCTGCAAAGGGACCAGGACGACTGATCCGTGTAAAGGAAAGAATGAATGGGGCCATGTATCGTGAGATTTTGAGTGAAAACCTCCTTCCATCAGCAAGGGCATTGAAGATGAAACGTGGCTGGGTCTTTCAGCATGACAATGATCCCAAACACACCGCCCGGGCAATGAAGGAGTGGCTTCGTAAGAAGCATTTCAAGGTCCTGGAGTGACCTAGCCAGTCTCCAAATCTCAACCCCATAGAAAATCTTTGGAGGGAGTTGAAAGTCCGTGTTGCTCAGCGACAGCCCCAAAACATCACTGCTCTAGAGGAGATCTGCATGGAGGAATGGGCCAAAATACCAGCAACAGTGTGTGAAAACCTTGTGAAGACTTACAGAAAACGTTTGACCTGTGTCATTGCCAACAAAGGGTATATAACAAAGTATTGAGAAACGTTTGTTATTGACCAAATACTTATTTTCCACCATAATTTGCAAATAAATTCATTAAAAATCCTACAATGTGATTTTCTGGATTTCTTTTTCTCATTTTGTCTGTCATAGTTGACGTGTACCTATGATGAAAATTACAGGCCTCTCTCATCTTTTTAAGTGGGAGAACTTGCACAATTGGTGGCTGACTAAATACTTTTTTTTCCCACTGTATACTTGGGAAGATAGTATTTTACCCCAGGGCAGAGAGAGCTTCAAACCTTAATCATATTGGGGTTCTGTTCTGACTGATCCAACGACTGTGACAGAGCTTCAGGTGTCCTTCTAAAGCAGAGTTCACATTGGCAGTTTGAATTGAGTCAAATACTATTTATTTGCATATTATTTTCCTGCAGTCTGAACTGCCAAAAAGCACATGGAATCGGATATTTCAAGGCACATTTCAAACCACCTTCATAGGTGGTTTGAAGTCAAATACAAATCTGATTCCTGGCCATGTGACTTGTTTGAACGGTCAAATCTGATGTATTTGCCCTTGTGTTTTTTTTTTGACTGTTATTCAGCATATCTTGTCGCTTGCTAGCTACTGTGTTGACAGTTCGACAATAACATGTGGTAGCTAACTAGCTTGTTAATTGTTTACAAACAAATTTGTGAAAATGCTAGAAAGCTAAACAGCTAGCTAGTTGACTGCTGTAGCTAGCGAAAAGGGACTCATTTTGAAAGTTGGATCATCTTCTCCTTTGAGGCTTTAAACTTGTTCTTACCCTATGATTTTGATAATTCAAAGCAACTGGGAAATGTCCATGGCAGGCATTGTCACCTTAGCTTGCTACATAACGTCTGAGTGGTAGGACGCAGCAGCACCACCAATCAGCCTTCACCACTGCACACACCAGTCATTACTATGACAACTAATGTCACCTTGTCAGCAAATGAATGCTGTCTGAACACACACAAATCTGATTTGGTCACTTGTAACCTGCTGTGTGAATGCAGCCGCATGGCCTATCTGCTGCAGCCAGGTGTGTAAGATGTGCAGCTGCAGTCAACTATGTCTCTGTGGAGAGCTGCTACACCTTGTATGGAGTCATTTAGCCAAAAGATGGCCTTTCCCACCCCTACACCCCTTGGGTGTTCACAATATAATTCATTGAAGATACAGTAGGATGGCTGTTTGAATATGAGAGAAACATACATAGTTAGTTATTCACATGAAAAATATTCTCCAAATGTATCACAATTTGCTGTAGTCACACATCATAATTTTCTTTTGAGTTCAAAGTTCAGTTTAAACTATCTGATATGAGTACTGTAAAACTATAATAATTCAACTAATATCATAGATTTTAGTTGAAAATGGACTTCGTCTACAATTTAATTCCTACCTTCTATGTGCCCTATATCATAACACTATTTCACTACTGGACAAGTAAATCTTGATAGCTCAATGAACAGTTTTTCTTAATAGAGTCAGCTGGGGATGAGTTAGCAGAATTTCCAGCAGAGTATCCAGGAGAAGGATGAGGAGCTTGAGGATGAGGAATCTCCAACAAGCTGTGGAGTCTCTCAAGGTAAATATTATTGATCAGAGGACTGGGCCCAGTTTTTCAAAAATAACTTTTGAAAGACTGGGCCCTGTAGGTGAACCATTTAACTTCCCTCCTACAGTCAGCCAGTCAGAGAGAGATGCCACTCTCCAATCCCACTGAAACCCACTGTGGGGAGCGGGCTGTCTTCAGTGCTTTTAGCAACGTAGGTGTATTTACATACACTAGCGTTGCTTTCAACTGTATTGGGTTGCACAAAAACAGTCAGTGGTAAGCCAGAAGTTAAATACAATTCCATTTCAACTTAATGTGCCAGTGGACAGGACGGTTGTTCATTATGAATGGGGGAATTTGTGACAAAATATCTAAAGGATCGTATTATTCAATCAAATAAAATACAAGTTTACTGGTTGCGTACACAGATTTGCAGATGTTATCGCAGGTGCAATGCTCTCTAGCTCCAACAGTGCAGTAATACCTAGCAATAAAAAACAATACAGACATTTTTTTTTTTATTAAATGTATAAATATCAGAACGAGCAATGTCAGAGTCCGGAATATAAATATATATATACATATAATGGTGTGTATAGACAGTATGGACAGTATATGAATAGAAAAGGTGTGTACAGCAGTAGTTATATAGGATGAGACATGACTAGAATACAGTATATACATATAAAGTGGGTAAAACAGGATGTAAACATTAATAAAGTGACCAGTGTGACCAAATAGGGCTATCTTTAGGATACAACCCCTACCTTGTCACAAGACAACTGATTGGCTCAAACGCATTAAGAAGGAAAGAAATTCCACAAATTAACTTTTAAGAAGGCATACCTGTTATTTGAAATGCATTCCAGGTGACTACCTCATGAAGCTGGTTGAGAGAATGCCAAGATTGTGCAAAGCTGTCATCAAGGCAAAGGGTGGCTATTTGAAGAATCTCAAATATAAAATATATTTTAATTTGTTTAACACCTTTTTGGTTACTACATTATTCCATATGTGTTATTTCATAGTTTTGATGTCTTCACTATTATTCTAAAATGTAGAAAATAGTAAAAATAAAGAAAAATCCTTGAATGAGTAGGTGTTCTAAAACTTTTGGGCAACAGTCTCTAAGGTGGAGGCTAGAGTACCGGGTGGTAGCCGGCTAGTAACAGTGATTAATTTCCTCGTTTGATATCTGGTACTGACTTCGAACCAAGTAGGCCGGTGGGTGGGGTTACAAATAGCCATACTCAATGATTGGTCTCATGTAATGATCACAGTATCGCGTATGTTGTTAATACTCATGCACGAGTCACTGGTGCCATTTCTATAAGAGAAGGTAAGTCTGACTACAAACGGTACAGCCACAGATAGAACTTGGTACAGCTACACTAACAAATAAATTGCTCAGTTGGAGCGTTTTTTAGCAAATATTGAATACGTTAGCCGAGATGGGAATCAATCGGTCAGTAAAACAGTGCAGGGAAAATTAAGAAACTCAAACAAGAATATAAAAAGATCATAGACCAAACAACAAAAGTGGATCAGAGTCAGACAGTGATATTTGAAGCCATGATGACGCCCGGTAATACATTGTTTTTAGCCAAATTACTATCTAGCTAGCTACCAATGTCTTCAGCGTAGCTAGCTGTAGGGTGAGAGTGAGCACTGTGCGAGACGTGAACCAGGGTCGACAATTTGTCATATAAACATGCATGGAAGGCCAACTCTGTGGATTGATTGATTGAATTTATAGAATTTATTAGACTTTTTTTTTTTTTTTTTGCAGCAAGATGGCCGCAGGAAAGTTTGGTGTGTTGGCAGCATTTTGAATTTACAGTTTTATATTAACCTTTATACATATTGGCCCTTTTTGTACATCAAGTTGTACGCGGTTTTAATCAGAACATTTGTCTCGAAGGCCAGTTTGGCACTAAGCACTTTGGCCACGGCAAAAACACCCTATTCAACACGTTCATATATATCAGCTGGTACAGTCCCTCCAAAAGGGCGATTAAGGTTGGAGGTAAACGCCAAATAGATGGTGGAAACCTCATAATTACTCTATGCCTGTTACTGTTGGGTGATGTTCATCAGTATCACGGCCCATTTGCCAGCGACCCATTGGAGCAGAGGCATGCTACAATGGAGAGGGACAGAAGGAACCCTCTCTTTCAGGTATGCATAATAAACAGATCATTTTCTGACCTTGGTCATGACAACCAACCTAATCCTCCTGCTTCCATCTGCTGTCAGTGTGCGGCAAGGAGACCATCAAAAGATGCTGTGGGAAGACCCGTAAGAGACGTGGAGCGTGCCGAATGGACGTGGAGCGGACCGGGGATAGGGACGAGGGACAGGAAAGGCAAACCCTGGGTCAGATGCCAGCGCGACCCCTGGATTAAACTTCACTGCTGCAATTGGACTACAGGGAGTCAACACTCATCTCAAGTGAACAAGTTTGGCTGACAGTTCCAACAGATGAGGAGAACTTGACTCTAGAAAATGTGTTTTCTACGAGAGGACTACACATCCGTCATCTCAACGTTAGAAGCCTTTTTCCCAAGATCGAGGAAATGTGTCTACTCTCCAGCTGCCATGCTATGTTGTTGTCTTAGGTCTCTCTTTATGTAGTGTTGTGGTGTATCTCTTGTCGTGATGTGTGTTTTGTCCAATATTTTTATTTTTAATCCCAGCCATTTGCCTTTTGGTAGGCCATCATTGTAAATAAGAATTTGTTCTTAACTGACTTGCCTAGTTAAACAAAGGTTAAATACAAAATAAAATAAAACTAAAGATTGACGTACATTACTGAAGTGGGAACATTTTCACGCTGGGAGACATTTTACAGCATGACGTCACAATCAGAACGATTGGGAACTATTTTCACACTGGGAAGATTTTTACACGACACCCTGAACCCCCAGGTGCCAAGGGTCCATTCTCAAATGGTAAACAGTTCAATGTCACTTCTTTAACCCTAATCACACAATTTAGCTGTCTTCAACAGGGGTGGGCAATATCATCCACAGAGGGCTTTTGTCATGGCAGGGTTATGTTCCTAAACATTATTGAAGGAGACAGTGTGGATCTAGGAATTTACACACTCATTCAATTATTCATATTCTGACCCAAGACCTTTATTATTTGCATCATTGGTGAATTTGGTTGGTAGATCATGTTGGTCCCTGTTATGAGAATTATTTAACTAACTATTTCAGTGTCTCTGTGCGTCTCCCAAAAGGTTGTAAGGCTTTTGGATCAAGAAACGGACAGAGTCCAGTCTGCATAGTCAGGCCTTTATTCATTGAGAATTCTGCCACAAAATGGTCGTACAATATTTGTATACGCACATGTCATACGTAAATCCCACCCCTCTGTAGGCGGGCTGTAGTTTTCCACTTTAAAACTGCTCTCCTGACCATCAGTTCACACACACACACACATACATACATACACACACACATACATACACACACACATACATACACATTTTCTTATCATAGTCTCTCTCCTCCCTAAATTCCTCAGTTATCGCCGTTCTCACAATATTCTGCACCATGTTTAACAGTTCCCCTTCTTCTTCGCCGTCCGGTCTAACTCCTACTCACATTGCTAAATAGTAACACAATGTCATAATCTTTACTGGTCCTACACTCAGACATTACCAGGTAGTAGATTCTAACACATCTCACACAGTTTCGGAGTATAATAATTAGTTACTGCTAAGAAAGTACTAATCATACTTAAAACAAGAACATTTCACAACTATATTTAAGGGTGGAACATTTAGTCATTACTTTTAACCTGTATATATTTTAATTTCTATATCAATCCACCCTTTGACTAAATTATCCACACTTTAATACACAGAAAATCATTACAATTACTTTTAAACTAGAGATTTATAGTTCTAGGTAAACATCCAGTCACAGCTCTTCGTTAGATTTTCACTGCAACCTTCACACATTAGAACTAAGAAAAGTTTCATCCAGTCTCAAACTATTTGAATCGTCGTCATCCTCCACCAAGCCTGGTGGGTCCTATTCTTCATTCCTTAGGTTGGAGTCTGGGATTGGGCCGTATCTCACCATCTGTTGGGAAACTGCATCTCCAACACCCTGCTCACCAACCCTCGGACACAGGGAATAAGACAACATCCACAAAGAACAAGCATACCCATAGAAGCTATAGCTGCACCCAGAATAGTTGCAACAATAGCTTTCCATTTTCCAAACATGTTATCAAACCAACCAGTCATTGATGTATTCACCCCCCAGTTCTCAGCCCATTCTTTACTTAATGCAGTGAGACCTGCCAGTGCTCTAGTTACTGTACCATCTGGGGCTGTATTGTTGGGGATAAACATACAACAATGACCTCCCACCATCTTGCAAATCCGCCCTTCTCTGCTAAAAGCATATCGAGAGCCAAACTTTTCTGTCAGGTCATGAGTGAGGTGGCGGATAGTTGGTCTGAAATTCCCTTCACTGCATCCCTTGTCTAATTAACAAACCTTTGTAGATGTAATTAATCCAGTCAACATTTTTATCAATTGTAACCCACCAGAAAAACGTTGTTGTAAACCCTTCTCCAATTTGATCTGTGATTTGCATTACTTTGGTGTCTATAACATTGATAATCTCCGGGGGTCATGGTGAATTGGGGTGCCTAAGTAATATCCTTTTTAAGAGTGGTTATTTTAATATCAGAACAATTAGGTGAGGTTTGGTTTGATCCCAAATCTATCACAGAAGAGAACATGGTCCGAGGCATAGGTGCAGTTAGAAGGGTTGGCCTACTTGTTGAACAGGCATAACAATTAGTTTGACCCAACACCCTAGCTGTGTAGTTATCCACCTTACCCAGAAGTTCTCATTTGAAATTCCTTCTACTTCTCCTTGGTTCATTTCCTGCAAGAGGAAATATTCTACCCTTGGTGGTTTAGTGCTATTTAGGATTCCTTCTGAGGGCCTTCCAAGGGGTATTAGACTAGTTTTTGATACCTCTGGTGATAACATTAGATCTACCTGCTGTTCTGTCTCGGGGGTGGAAGATACATTTCTCTCCTGAAACATGAGCCTCACACATGTATTTGCCCGACATCATCAACACAGACCCAATAGTTCCTTGCTATGTCATCTTGCATTATTGACTTTACCGTTATCACCAGTTCCGTTTTACATTCATCATGGGTTTGTTTAATTCCCCATCGGTGTGCTGCATCCATTCCATTCTCATAGTATGTTCCCCAGGTATGTTTAAACACCCTTGCCCAAGGACATGAGCGTTCCCCAGTGCAAATGTATTTACCATACCTTCTAGGACCTAACTTTCTTGCACACGCCCCCTTCTTACCAAAGCCCCCAAAACCTCCTATCTCTTCATGGGAGAAGTTGAATAGTATCTTGAATACCCCATCTCGTCCTAAACTGACTTTAACTATAAAATAATCATTCCCCCAATAGTCTTTCTTGGTTTCAGTATTTCTACGAGATCGAATCAGTGCCTTGGTATTATTTTGTTAATCATTTCCCTGTTTAGGTTGACCTGGATTAATCCATAATATGGTTAACACGATGATGCAGCTCAGAGTCCCCCAAAATCCCCAAAACCACCATCCCAATCCTGTCCCTGACCCACCTGGTGGGCTGGGATTACACGGATAACTCCATGTTTCATTAAATTCACTAAACCTATAAATAACAAGCCCATAACCACCTTCCGGTAATCTACTGATTTAAACCTGTTGCATTAATTTATTAAAATATAAACCTATTGTTTAATAAATCCACTGTTTGCATTGAACACATCTCTCAGTCTCTCTAGGTATTGACGAATAGTCTCACTGTCTCCCTGCTTACACTCGTGGACTTTGGAGAAGTCGGCATGTCTGTGATAATATTCTCTCAGATTATCACAGAGTTGTGCCAATTTATCACCATAAGCCCCTCCCTCTTCCCACTCTAACACCGGCGAGTTCCCATCCCCGGGAACCCAGTTTCCCTTTACTGCCGCCCAGTCCTTCAACACTATCTGTCTGACTGCCCTCTCTAGTTCCCCTGTATTCAGCTTAAAGCTGGTGGTCAGCCCTTCCATATCTCTTCTGAACTGGTGTACCCCCGTTTTAGGGTGGGGTATCCCTTCCACTGCTCTCACTACATCTCTCTGTTTCGTTTACTAAATCCTGGCATTAGTAAATTCTATCCACACACCACCAAAAACGAATAACATATTTGCATACACATAACTAGAAAGCATGAATTTAATACCATTCTTGCTTAAACAATGCAATTCAACATTTCTCATCACCCAATTTCTATTACTTTTTTCACACAGGAAACCCTGTACAATCTCTATCCTCTATTGCTGACTTTCCATCTAACATTACTTTTCAACATTTCTCAAATCTAATTACCTCTGTTATCAACTAAAATTATAGCCACCTCTTATGAAACCCCCAATCTGTCATTGTTTAGAATACAGCAGATATAGGTAACTGTCCTTTCTAAGTAGGCTACAAATAACACCAAACACATGCCGTAGTTGACCAGCATATATTGAATTTATCTCCATAGTATTAATATCCAATGTAGTGATTGACGTTCCTTAATGGAAACCCTAAATTGGCTTTCTACAATATTATATTAATTATGTCTCACCCATGACGTATGTCTACGTTTGGGTGAGCAAGTTAATATATAATTATTATTCCAATTATTATTTTATGAAGTCTCTAGCCTCTCATTCAACACAAATCCCCATCATCAAATATACTCCCAGCAGAACTGAAAAAAAACAACAACAAAAAACTGACTGTGATTTCCAGGACACTGCCCCTTTGTTTCTGGCCTCACTATCTCCCAGAGAGTTGGCACTCCCTTAAGGTCTCTCCCAATCTGCTCTTGGTAAACTGCATACCTTTTAACCTCAATATGTGTTGCTGTGCTTTCTCCACCCTATCAAAGTATTTTTAATGGTCCTGCTTATCTCTGGTCTCATTCCACTGAGGAAGACTATATTTTTAATTGCTGATGGTAGGGCATATCATTCCCCTGTCTGGTCTGGCTCGGGTAAGCCACTGTTTGCGTTAAACACATTTTTAACCCTCTCTAAGTACTGGCTGACAGCCTTACTATCCTCTTGTTTACACTCATGTGCTTTAGAGAAGTCTGCATGACGATGGTAATGTTCTCTGAGGCTATTACACAATTCAGTTATTTTCCCAACATACTCTCTGTGATCGGCCCATGGCAAAAGTGCCCTCTGGGCATCCCCTGAAACCCACTGCCCTCTAACGGCCGACCAAACCTTACTATTCCTGTTTTGGGGTGGGTCATTCATTCTACCGCTCGGGCCACGATGTTCATGGCCTGTATACATCTAAGGTTGCTGGGGCCCCTTC